AAGTTTAATAATTTCACACAATGATGTTTAGGATCAAAACGGGACAGAATCTTGGCATTCCTAAGATTGTTATATAGAAAATAACAGTTTTGAACATCATTTGTTTATCCTTAATTGGAAATGGTTCAAACCTGATTAGAATTATTAGTTTAAGATGACAGTATAATGAGAGACCCTCAGGGCCAAACATTGACTACTGTTCTACTGTTCCTGTACCGAATGGCCAAGGTGACCTATAGTCATCGTGTGTCATCTGCCATGCGTCTTGCATAAACTTTCGACTCAAATGACTTCTAAATAACCGAGCAGTATGCGAGCAGTAGGTCTGAAGTTGAGGTCATTGTGTAGAAGCATGTATAAGGAAAGGGATTTCGAGTTTGCAGAAAATGTTTTTAAACTGTCTTTATTGTAAGCTGTAGAGTAGTTGAGCAATCTAGACCTGTTAACCTAGAGCAGCATAAGTCAAAGACACAGGAACCGCCTCTACCGCGCCCTTGGCAAGCATGATCACTACTGCGCCTGAGATAATGCCCAAGCGTCTTCCGTGATCACCCGCCACTGTGGAAGAAACGCCGAGAGACACCCTCCCACATGGAGCGCCTGATGGGACAGATCGAGACCCTGCCAGACCAAAGAACGTCTGTCCACCCGGAGCCTTATACTGCGGGCCAAGGACAAGAGCTTGAGACGGAGGACCGCTGTCCATCTGACCCGGCTCTTGGTCTCTCGCGGCCAAGGAGCTGAAGACGTCAGGAACCCTTCTTCCTGCCCCCAGGAGGGTTCTTACCCTTCCTACCCTTCCTACTCTTCCCCTTATTGCCCTTGAAGCGAGGCTTGGTCTTGGGTTGCGCAGAAGGCTGAGCAGCCGAAGACTTCACCCTCTTCGCGGGAGGCGCCAACATCCTCGCGGCACTGGCCTTCTAAGTCTGGAACCTCTTCGATAAAAATGCTGAGGCGATTGAGTCTTCCTTCATATTATTCTGTACAGAAGGAAGAGCTCCCCTAACAGGGTAGAGGCCGAGAAGGGGACAGTTAACAATCGCAACCCCGCAAACACGGGAGCAAGGGAAGAATTCTTCCTCAACACCCGAGCCCGGGCAGTTGCCAGAGTTGAAGACACAGTAGTGCCTTCTGGCAGAGACCTGTCTAACTGAGCGGTAGCCTGAGGAGTTACCAAGGAAACTTAATAGCGTGGTGGACTCGGAGGATCGACGATGCGAAAGGCGGTGGGAAAACCTCCACCCGGAGAATCGGAGAGACATCGGCCCGAAGGGCCCGAATCCCGGAAAGAACATGCTGAGCCACAGCTTCAGCAGCCTCGGGGCCACATTACTCCTGGGAACATTCCTCGACGGTAGGGTCGTCGTCAGACGACTCGGATGGGTCTATATCTGAGCATCCAGGAAAAGGATGAATAACATCGTCCGGCGAACCTCTTTAGAACCGGCAAACAAGGCCTCCGAAGCAGCAGAACCGATCTGCTTAAACGCCTCCTGGAGGGAGAGAGAATCCCTCAGGTATTTCTAGAAGGATAACCCATGGGGTTAAACCCAAAACCATGAGGGAATGGGAATGGCCCGCCTGAGACTGTGGTTGGCCATCTTGTCCGAAGGACAAAGATTGACCACTACCCCCGTCAGGTGGACACCCAGACATGTACGGGCCTGTAGGATACTGTTGGTACACAGAACTATCCGCAGGCTGGCCTGGGCGGCCCAGGGTTGAATGCCCGCAGGCACCCGTATACCCAGAGCCCTGGGGAAACCGGATGCCTGGCCTGCAAACCCTGGAAGCTCGCCTAACAGGCAGGGGTCCTGGACGGAAAACTCCACGTGTGAACAGAGTTCACACAGCGAGATCTCGCTACAAGGCCGGCACATGGGACAGGCATCATGGTGTTCCCCGATGAAATGGGAACACCCAAGTGCTGTACAGCGACGTAAACCAGGGCTGCCATATTGCAAACAATGAACAAACAATGGTAACAAGTAATAAGACAATCAAGTTTTGAAAAAAAACTAACAAAACAAAACCATTAAAACGAAAGAACAAACCAACGTAACGCGGAAAACAACGGCCGCACAAAACAGCCGACAACACAGAAAAACAAAATATAAACCTCACGTAATCGAATAGGCGAAACACGTGGTCAAACGAGCGAACACGTGGGGGAAATATTGGATAAATAAACATATCAAATGTCACAAAAGACATTGGGAGATGGGTTTGCTCAAGATAAAACTAAGTGATATAAAATAATCAGGCAACAATACAAAAGTAGTAGAAAGAAGGAGGTCAAGAACTCAGCTTGCACACGTCCGCTTTCGTCGACGACATTAAGGAAAGAGGAGATCACTCTATGTCTGCCGTGATGGCTCATGGGAACGAAAGGAGGGCGGGATTTTTTAATCTTTTGTTTTTGGGATACAAAGATGGGCGTAGGTACTATAATTGCATACTAAAGTTATGGTAATTATTACTGAAATGAAAACAACATTTTACATCTCAAACAATCAATGATTATATTTTATTCATATTTTTACAGTTCACGTGTGAAACAAAATTGAAAAATAACACATGATCTCTCTTCAATTACAAATATATATAAATTTACCATCCCAAGGAAAACAAAGGAAAAAAACGGACCTTTCAAGTCGAGAGCGGATAACTTTCCACCCTAATACTACTACGTTATATATGACACACACAGACATACAGACAGACACACGGACGCACATACACACAGACACACACACACGGACACACACACACAGACATACAGACACACACACAGACACACACACACAGACACATGAACACACACAGACACACACACACAGAGACATACAGACACACACACACAGACACACGGACACACAGACACACACACACGGATACACACACACAGACATACAGACACACACACACACAGACACATGGACACACACAGACACACACACAGACATACAGACACACACACACAGACACACGGACACACACACACACACACACATATAGACAAACAGACACACGGACACACACACACACAAAGGCACACAAACAGACACACACAGACACACGGACACACACAGACACACACATACAGACAGACACACGCACACATACGCACACACGCACGTACACACACACATAGCATACATTACACAAGCGTGATCTCTTATTGGGGAAGCGAAGTATGTATTCTTAGTGGGTTTTTTTTTTTAGATAACCCGTAATACTGTATAAAATGACGTTTACAGTTTGTGTTTACATTTTCCATAAAGTATGTTTAATTGTTACAAAAGCTCATCCTGGATTTAATTATTTGTTATGACCTGGTCACATATTAATTAAAGCATTCTAGGGATATCCCTACTGATATGGTAGCATCACTAGGTAATGATGCTCCGCTATCTACTACAGTTAAAAGGAGGGAATCTAAACGAGGCAAACAGAACATTGGACATGGCGCCTGTTCTGGAAGGCCTGTATCTGTTGCAACTCAAGAAATGGTCAATAAGAGAGTACATTCTATTCTTACGGAAGATCTTGCAATGGGAAAGATCTCAACCCGTTGGGTACCACAATTTCTGACAGTTGATCGGAAGATCACCTGACATGATTATCTGAACCTTTTAGAGGCAGATCCTACTAACTTTCTGCTGAGGTTTGTGACTATGGCTGAAACATGAGTTCATCATTTCACCCCAGAGGCCAAACAACGGTCTAAACAATGGAAGAACTCTGGTTCATACCCGCCAAATAAGGAAAAGAAAGATTATGGACCAAATTTCCTGGTATGCTGATGGCATTATGATGGAAGATTATCTCCAAAAGGGACATACAATTAAGGGCATATATGTATCAATTCTTAGGCAGTTAATATCGCCGCGGGAAACAAAAGATGTTCACCAGGTTAATGACCCTGCTCACAAGTCTGTCATCACTATGACTGCCATTAACGATTGTTCTTTTGAATTGATTGAACGTTCGCCTTATTCGCTTGGTCTCGCTCCATCAGACTTTCATCTATTTTCAAAATTGAAAAAAGGCCACTTTCGGTAAGATGATGACGTCATACATGCAGCGGGGGACTTTTTGAATGGTCAAGAAAAAGAACTCTTTCAAAAATGGCATTGAGGCCCTTAAACATCGCTTGAAGAAGTGTATAGATACTGAAGGGAATGAAAAATAATGCAATATGCCAAAGTGAATCCCTTCAATATGAGGCTCACAACTTATCAGTCAGCCTTCGTATCATAATTGTATTACTCAACTTCTAGCAACAGAAGCTGCCAGAATGACATATAGGGAACACCTATTAGTAACCAAAATAAAAGAAAACCCAAAGCTAACAGGACGTCAGTCATCTCGTCCATTTTCAAATCCTGTAAGGGAACTCCACACTACACTCTATTCTTGACATAATCTGGCAAAGCCTATTTTTCTACCCTATATCTTCTATTTTCTATAGGTGAGTAACTACGGGTCCAACGTTACGCTGGAGGGTATTTAAATGTTGCAAAAGTAGGATATTGTAGCCAGCTGTCTACAAAAGACGTGTACTATCATTATATAGCGTTACTAGTGTCTTGTTCGTTCTCCTAACATATTATCCTCAATAGAATGATTATTTAAGGCTCATAAGATCTTAGCTATGATATGAATTAAGAAACAGGCCAAGTCTAGGAAATCCTTCTACAGGCATAAAGAAAACATATCGACTTAGATGATAAATACATTGTGTTATAAGTTTTGATACGCCTTACTAACATAATAAAATCTATTTTAAACTGAAACCTATATATATTTTTTCATTACTGTATGCTGAAATATAAACAATTGCGTGATTCGGGGACCCTCAAAATAGCGTCGCTGACACATATGTACATGCGTCTGCATACCATCACAGCTAAGACAACGTAACGCCCGAGTCACGTGGCACAGGTGTCATGTTACAACTTGGAAGCAAAGAAACGAACAACGTAAACAATTGGATATCAAACTTGATTTGAGTTATATATAATTATGCAGTGCACTGGATTTACGACTGTGAGTGGGTACAGGCAAATTGGTTGATACGGTAAGTTAAAAAGTATCTGCATTACTTAGCTCATCATATCGCTTCACAATCAGGCCTAGTTTTATATCGGATAAGAAATTCCTGACACCGAATTTTAAAATAGGTCAAAGTTGACCACTAAAGCCATCATTGTTTATGTCTAAAATGTTGACCAATTACTCCTAATTAGTAAGACATATTATTGCGAAAGAAAATCGATACTAGTTTTAAAGCAAATATTCTTTCCTTGCTACTGAGTGTGAAATTGGGCTATTGTACAAAACTTCACTTGTATCCACAGGTATTAAATAGTTGCGTTATATATTGTTATACTACTGAATCGTGAAATGATATTAAAGTCGAGTTATTTTTCAAAACCGTTCATCCAGACCGATCCGACATTTAATTAGTCAAAACACCAGAATCCTCGTGACATTGATATGAGCGCTGTAAAACACTGGAACAAAAAAGAAGAAATATATCGGTTGTCACATCATTCAATGTACGCACGTTTAATGCTATGTATTTTATTTTGAAAACTACAGTTAAATTTCAATTCGATAACGAGCATTTTCTTCAGTTTAAAGCGATAGACTTTGAGGAGGTCTAAAGCTGAAACAAAAGCAACTGAATTCGTCAAAATCAACTACCTGTATTGTAGGGGTAAGAACACCATCAATATACCTTTTTATAGTCCAGCCACAGCGGAAATCAGTATATCAGATTTGATACTTGTGGGGTGATAATTACGAACAAAAAGACAAGTTTCAATGTAATGCTAATGATCGATTTCTCATTGTCACCATCTACAACCTAGACACCAAATATCCATGAAGCGGTTTTGTCAGAGAAAATGGAGGCGTATATTTATTGAATACCGTCAATATGTGTGATGTGTGTAAGGGCGCGTAGTATGTGATTTAGATATAACCTTACGAAGACTCAGAATTTAACAGCGTGTGTTTATATAATGATAGGACAAGGTATATGCATGTTATCTATGGTCAACATTGACCCGTTTTACTACCTGAAGGTTTGACAGGGTGGTTACAAAGATAAAGAAGTTGATTAAGCATGACAGTTTATGATAAGGTTATTTAAAGCCAAATAACTAGATTGTTCCACCTGTGTACCGTTTGTATATATCTTACACAGTTTTCTTGATTTTCTCTTATCAGTTTATTCAAGGATTTCCAAAAGGAAGAAAAAAAATCTGAAATATTGATTGCCGGGTATGTGTGCGTGTGTGTGTGTTATACAAGATTGGGTTCCTTGCGTCCCAGTATGCTTCAGATCAATGCTGGACATGCCACTGGGCCGAGATCCAACATCCATAAAAAATTCTTCAAACAAACATGATTTAGACAAAATTGGGACCGAATCCTGGAACTCAAACAGAAAAAGATTTTCAAACACTTTGCCTTATTTCCCCTATTCGTCCCCGCCCCTCCAGCCAAAGCGAATCGAGACTTACCGTTTATTTACTGTCGAAATTCGTTATCTCGAAATTCAAGGGAACGTGGAAAACATTTCGACTTATCCGAATTTCGATCCAAATAAGGTTGATGATATCAGTTTCCTGACGTTGATTACTGTTGAACGAAGTATGGACAAACAGCCTTATTTAATCTATTATTTGAAATGACAGTAAACAAACAGAAAAAAACTACTTTTTACTTTTATTCAAATATATTTATACTCACGTCATTCCGTCCCGCACACGTGTACGCTACTCTTAATGACCGACTTTACATATAGCTAATTTGTGTTACGGAATGACAATATAAACGAAAGTAAAATTTGCTTTTGATACGCTACAAGAAGCGGTGTGTGAAATTACCGATCATATGAATATGAATTTAATATGAAAATGCGGCACTAGAAAGTTTTTACCTGTTACAAAAATATTGTACAAGAACTAGTCTTAACAAGTCACGCACAGATATAGACTCTTATCAATGAAAGATACTCTCAGCACTTCATTGTCCAAATACTAAATCTAGTGAAGTGTCTGATCACAGTCCTTAGTAAAAAAAAAAATCAAAAATTAATTTCTCTCGAAGTTGTGGGGATAAGATTTCGTCAAATGTTCGTACTGGTTTGGCGGTTTCGTATTTGTCATTCCTGAAGATGCACGCAACCACGTTAAATGTTTTCACGTCTGGTATAAACGTGCTACTTTTTAATGTTCACGTAAGTAACTGCTACAGGATGATGACGCTAATTGTGAAGCCAACGTTTAATTGGATAATTAAACTTGTAATTAAGGTCCGGAGACCGATTGTTGTGTGTATGATGGGACCAATACGACAGAAATAGAATTCGTCATCCTTTCAATGGGACGCAATATCTGTATTTATTGAAATTTTGCATGAAAAATCAACACGTGTGTTGCAAATCAGTTATTATTGTTAATACATAGTCAATTAAGTTTGGATACGGCTGCTTGGATGGTCCTTCCACTAGTGTAAACATACTTGTCACGTGTAATTTTACTAGGAGTGGTATTTGCTGTTATCGTGCAACAGAAGACGGTAATATGACCGATACATATAGCACGTGACTTATACCTGTAATCATTCTATTTAACAAGGTCGATCTGATGATGCAAATTTCGTTATCTCTTTATACAGACTACTAATTATAATCCTGATTCTCTTATTCATTACAGATGGAAGTCGGGTAACATCACATCACTACTTTCCCTTGATATCTGAAGACTGTCTTTGACAAAAAGACATTTGAAAAAAGAACTGCATCTGAGATGTAGGTTTCGTAACAATACAACGTCATGCGGAATGCTATCGAGCAGTGTGATGTTTTCATGATGTGTATGGAAGGACCGCTGTTGATGACAGTCGCGTTGCTGTAACTTAGCATATCATTTACGTGGTTACCTGACGTTAGAAACATTACGTTGAAAGTATCACCATTGCTTGGTTCGTATGTGAACATGTCTCCAATAAGGCGAACCTCGAAAAAGATAGTATTTATGCTATTATTAGGTACAGTTTTCCTGATATATGGCTATATTACTTATCTCCAAGAACCACTTTATGTGTTTGTACACAAGGACATCCATAGTCAGTGCATTCTGCCTAATATTGATATAAACGATCCCACAATTAATCAATTCTATAGTTGGCACCCACAGCCATTAGAGTGCGACTCGACGCCATCACTAACATATGTAGATATGAGTGGTGTTTTGAGGTTCAACGAAAGCGTGTACAATTCATCCAGAAATGCGAAACTGAATTGTGTCTACAGCATCATAAGTCGTATTACAGATTTCAAAATCCACTTTGAGAACGAGATACCTTTCTCAGAACCCGTGGATGTGCCGGCAGATTACTTTGTCGTCCGATGTCGGAATCCGTCTGGGAAAATCAAATACGAAAACCTCCACCAGAAAATAGACAGAAAAACACACGAAAAAAAGACTGAATTCAAAGACGAGACGGAGGAAGATCTCAATGTAATTATGTTTGGAATAGATTCTGTTTCACGGTTAGGAGCCATCCGAAAACTTCCTAAAACTGTGAAGTATTTAACGGAAACCCTTGGTGGATATGTTTTTAAAGGGTACAACAAGGTAGGGGACAACACGTTCCCGAATCTGATAGCGTTACTTTGTGGGAAACCATTAGAAGACTTTAAATTTGATTATCACTATGTTCATGCCGAAACATACCCTTTTATCTGGAACGAGTTTGAGGAGCAAGGTTATGTCACAATGCACAGCGAAGACTGGCCCGAGATAGCTACTTTCGACCATTCCATACCGTTAGGATTTTCGAAACAGCCTACAACCCATTACAGTAGACCTTTTTGGTTGGCTCTGCGGAAAATTCAGCCCATGCAATATATGATAGATCAAGTCTTCATGTATTTTGAATCTAAGGCGATGAAAATGAAGACTTCATCTGGGTTGTGTTACGGCAACCGACCAAACCATATGCTAGTTGTAGATTACTTGAAGAAATTCTTGCATATTTATAAAGGAAAACGCAAATTTGCTTTCGCGTGGTTAAATGAACTAGCACATAATTATGTAAATTTCTTAGAATATGGTGATAATGATTTCATGGAGCTCTTAAAATGGATGCATGAAGAAGGACATTTGAACAGAAGTGTTCTTCTTTTATATAGTGACCATGGGTCAAGACTCGACGAAATCAGGAATACATACGTCGGACGAATTGAGGACAGAATGCCTTTTGTGTCTATGGTACTACCGGAAGTGTTAAAAAATAAATATCCATCGATAGTTGAAAACATAAAAGAAAATCAAAACAGGCTAACAACAGTCTACAACATACACGAGGCACTCCGTGACGTATTATATAAAAGATACAGAAATATCAAGAGTGACATTTCAAGCGATGAACCCACAGGAAGGCCTATCAGCATGTTCAGGCCTCTTCCTAAAAGTCAGTCGTGTGCTAATGCGAAAATTCCTGAGCATTATTGCGCATGCTACTCATCAAAACCTGTAAATAAATCAGAACCAATGGTAAACACTATTGCAAACCGTGTATTGAATAGTATCAATGATATTTTAGTTCCTGTTCGTGACAAGTGTGCTAAATTGTCTTTACAGACCGTATTAGAGGTTAGAGCTCTCCAAAATAGCCTCGAAAGAAAAGCTGAAAAAGAGACAAAATTTACTTTGCTCAATTTGATTATGTCCCCTGAACAACACTATGATCAACAATACCTAATTGTGATAAGAACCACACCCGGGAACGCAACATTCGAAAGTACATTAAAACAAATAGGAAAAAATGACTTTAAAATATTGGATGATATTTCCCGAACCAACCGTCACGGTTCGCAGTCTGGGTGCATCAGTGATCGATATCTCAGAGGATTTTGCTATTGTAAACAGAACCACACTGTTGCTTGAAAATAGGCCTTCATCCTACAGGAATACTACATACGTATTTGTAAGTTTATATCTAAATGAGATGATTACGATAACTGTGATGACAGATGTACTTATTATGTTCCGACATTATGACATATACAAAATGTATAGACATAAAATTGAAACGTAGGTAAATGAAAATGGTGCCTAAAATGCTCGGGAAAAAAGCTCACAAGCTATGTCTAAAATGACCTATAAAAAGAGATTGGGTGTGAAAAGGCTATGCAAACTTGCATACAAAAATTATATGTATAACCGCTTGAATTACTGATCAATGGGTAAAGACTGTATTAAAGATAATAATTATTTATTGATATCGGAAGGACCGGTGAGTTTGTCATACCGCGGCGTCCGTCCGTCAACTGTCTCGGTTACAAATCTCTACTGGTCATGAAGTAGCCCTACGGAAGGTTTAACGCATTTTATATCAAATGTGGATATGGCCCCTGGGGCGGGGCCCAAAAGGGAAAATGTAACAAAATCCTTTGGTCCGACACATTTTTTGGTGAAGAAGAGTAAATTTTTTAAACGTTGGGTCACGACCTACTAGGACTGGAGCGAGATAGGACTCATTGGAGGAAATAAACAAAATTATACTCGTGTAACAGTAACTGGATTTTTCCCAACTTGGTCTGAAGCATTGCTGGGTGAAGGGGAATCAATTTTGTGTAAACTGTGGATCTCGAACCCCATGGGCAGTAGAGACAAGATCCTTTATAGGGAAATTTAACAAATTCTTTAAAATCCTTCTTCTAATCTGTAGCAATGGCAGGATTCTGTCTAATGTGGTCTGAAGCATAAACAGTATGGCGGACTCCTCACCCCATTTTAGGCACAGAGGGTCGGCACACAACGGAAAAATAGACATGGTTTTTGCTTAGATAATGAATATTCATGTTCCTATAATTTTGATGGAGAAATTTCAGCCAAGCAAAACCAGGTGAGCGATAGAGGCGCTAAGCTTGCTTATTAATGATTTCGTGTTCAAATTTACTGACGATTGCTTACAAGTGACATATTTTTATATATTCCATATGTATGATGATGAAGAACATCGTGTGAAAATACTAAAAATTGGAATGTATATATATTTTGTACATTTATATAATTTACAAATATTAGTTTTAGATTAAAGATCAAACGGAAAGTGTTTCCTGTTGTTGTTACGATAACTGCATTCCGGAGGATTTTTTCCTTAATCTTTTGAAGTGGTCAATATCCTCCGAATTCAGTCCTAAACCTTACGTTGATACATGTCCGTGAATATGGATGTGAGAAACAGAGAAATATCCGACGTGTCAAACACAAATTCGATAAATTAGAGTAAATATGGATGTAAGAAATCTTACCCGGAGTCTCCTGAAAAGGTAGAAGAATACTACAGGTGCTTTAGACAGGTAACCCATCCGCTTCATCGACGATATCTTCCATGTTAATCTCGGCCAGTCCGACGTTCCCAGATGAGAAAATACTTGTTTTCATTTGAGAGCATGACGTTATTTGTATTGACCAAGGTTTATTAAAATGGCGGGTGTCGTCGATGAAACAGAAGACGCTTACTCTATCTGAACACTTGGTTTTAATCTCTTTGCACTTTTTAATGAGTCTCCGTGTAAACATTTCTTTCGTCCATATTTTGCCGTAGTTTTATGGAATTTGGGTTTGGACTATGATTATGTTGCCATGTTGATATTTCCTTGATTTTTTTTCAACTACAGAATCATCACACATATTAACGAACATCAAACTTCAAGCCAGATCTTGATGTACATCGAAAAGGATTCCCTATTATCGTCATCAACCTGAATCTCTTTGTTGTGATTGTACCTGTCAGTTGTTGATATGTAGTGCAAAAATAGAGGTGATGGCAACATGTCTTTAGATATGGCGATACAAACACTATAGGATGGATATGCGATGCTGTTTCTGGAATTCTGACAAAAGGATGTTATATGATGTACCTAGTAAATGAAAATCCGAGGATCCATATCGCCCGTATATTTCACCGTTTGATTTTAATTGGTTAAACTCGCTTTATCGCTCCGGGCTCGGTGATCTAAAATGATCAAGGTCTATCAAAATTGATCGTACTGGACTCATTACGGTCACAGGAATCATTACACGTACCCTTTTATATTCGTCAATGTTAGCTTCATACTTAGTGGGGAATTACTTTTTTTTTTATAAAGGAATGATATGATCCATGTAAATCTAGCGAAGTTTTAAAGGCTGTTTCTACATGTACACTGTACTTATTCATTTACCTTAAATATTTAATAATCGTGGCTTGGAACATGTACTGTCACTGTTTAAAATCGGAAATAGCTTAATTTATCGGAAAATGTATAATTTTATGACGGAAATCGTATTTTTTAATGTTGAATATAGCGGGAAAATGGAATGTTGAACGTAATCCAATTTTTGTCTTGGATTATAAATACCAGTGTCTGGAACACTGGCACGTCGAAAAATTGATGTGTAAATTTAGTTATATGATTTAATGTATCCGCCAAGTTTCATCTTCCTACTTTAATTGCAAGCAATTTTAAGTGTCCTAAACCAAAATTTTAACCAAGGGCAATAACTCTTTAATTAAGGGTTGCGGGCCCTGAATTTGGTGCAATGCACATCAGGTTAGTATGATCAATGTATATACCATGTCTCATTATCCTAGTTTAAATGCAAGGAAAGTTGTGTTCCGGACACAATATTTCAACAATGGCAGTAAATCTGGAATTGAGGGGTCAAGGACCCTCAATTTAGGACACAGTTCATTGTCTTAGTATGATTCAAGGAATACGTTAAATTCCACGATCCTTCCTTAATTTGGGCAGAGTTATGCTCCGGACAAGAAAGAACAGACGGAAAGACAGATGGACAAGATATTTTTCAAGGAGCATTAAAAGAATAATGCGACTCATTAGTAATGTATGCCACCATTTTGTTAATAAATATTTAAGGTATATACATGTATCCAATATAAACAACCACACAAAAGATTTTGTTAAGGATTCACATACCACGTTCAATTATATAATTTGGAGACATGCCGATCGAGTAGTAGACTCTGTTGTTACCCGTTTACCACGTTTTAATTAAAAACTGCACGGTTCAGAATTTACAAACATACTTAATATATGTTTTGAAAATGATTAAAATAACTTAATTATCTTGTTGGTAGTCTCTCTTTCTATATCTTTATAAGGCAAGGTAACCTGAAACATACGGATGGCCAGAACATTCGTAGGGGAGACGATACCGGAACACGGGAGAAGCCGCGGAGAGGAAAAACCTGTCAACCAAGAAACATATTGGCGGGGAATCCGGGAACTGAGAAACACAAACTGAACAAACCAGTTGAGACAGCTGGGAATTAGTGCCTGTTAACTCTCTTTGGGCGGCTTGTACATGTTGTTACAAGGCTGTACTTGCGAGAAGACTAAAGTTTACATATCGTAAAAGGCACATAAATTGCAATTACGTATGAACAATAATTCTAATGGACATTTTCTTGTGACCTCTAAAAGTGGGCCATGATTCAAGACCACCCAGGTTAAGAACTAGTATATTTTTAATGTGTTCATGATGATATATATTGCCTTGCAATCCTCCAAGTAAAATCCTCACTATTTTCTTAGTATGTACCACAGTATTTCCCATGCTTATAATTGGTTCATTTCACACCCACCAAGATTTTCATCAACATAAGCACAAGTGTGTGAAACTTTACAAATGTTGACCAGCAGCATAAATACTTGAAATCTGTGAGTTAGTTAGCATTTAAGTGGCTAGAGGTATTTCAATAGGTAGGGCATTGAACTTTAGAACATTACCTGTAGATCCAAGTTGTGACAACCTCAAGTCAGTGTGACTTGTATTTCTCAGGTAGCTGAGAATCATTCTGATGGGTGTTGACATAATTGTGTCCTTGAGCAAGACCAATTACCAGGAAATTCCCCTCAAAATGACCCTGACTGTTTGGACAACAAACATAAAATCAAAGAATTTACACTGATCTTCTTCTTATTTATCATAAACTTCATTGAACTGCCATGCATGCAATGAACCGTCTGTAGCTGCAGAAAGAGCCACATCCTGTTGCCATGGATGCAGTATATGAGTCACAGTGGTAAGCTGGTCATTCTTGTTGTCTATAGTTGTATTCTGCCAATGACCTTCATGTTTGAAAAAATATTTGGACATCTCACTTTCTTTATGGCTTTCTGCACTGCACATTATAGGTAATTTGTATATATACACATTACTGTCGAAACCTTTAAAAAAAAGAAGAAAAATAAAATTATGACTTATTACAAAAGAAAGTCAGTTACATACAGACATTTGTTAATATAATAGTGTTACACAATCATATTATTACAGATTCATGGATGGAGTCATGTAACTCCAACCTTCAACAGCAGTCAAACCTCATTATTTCAAACTCTGCTGGACCATGACATATAACTTCCAGATAAGCAAGTATTCAATTTAAGTTCAAATGTTTTGTGTAAAGTTTAGACGTGGACTGACAAAATGCTTCAAATAGTTATACATGTTTGAGGTTCACCTGTTCTATACTTATAGTTAGAATTACAGGATACTAAAACTTTTTCCATACAAGAGGCATTTTCACCCCAAAGCAATTTTTCCCATTGTGTATCTTTCATGGATTGGTTTATTTACCATTTCTCGACTGAGGAAATACCCTCTGTACACTGCCTGGAGATTTTCCAGAAGAAGAGGAAGATGTTTTACATTTTCGTGACAAGGAAATTCTAAGATCATTTGTGAACTGTGTGACAAATAAGGATTCTAAATAGCATTTGTGTGAATCACATGTGTTATAAATAAAATAAACAATTTTATCTATATTCTTGACTATCATTACTTAGTTATTGGTTATCTCCCTTTTGTTACAGGTTGTCTGAGTCATGTAGCCTTGGTTTTCATGATTTTTGTTCCAGTAAATTTTTCAACCATATACAAATATACCTGTAATATCACTCTTCATCTAACTGTCAGATTCTAGTTTAAATCGTCTAATGTAAATACTTACCAGAAATATAAATTATATCTTCATCTCTTGGTAAAACCTGAAAAAAACATGAGTTTATGCTTAATTAGACTAGATGTAAATACACAATTGTACCATATGTATGTTGTTTAGGTAGAATTAGACTCCTAAAACAAATCAACAGGTGAAGTCTTGAATGTCAATGACTGGAATTTTAGTGATAAATATGTGTAAAATATTCATTTCAATCTATCATCCTGACAAGCAGCACACATGAAAACATTGATATAAAGACATTTGGGGTAGCAGAACACTACTAGAAAAGTCTGTTGTAAGTATCATGTGATTTTTAGCTTCAACAAAGGCACCAATGACATTCTATCTCAGTAAAAGCAACTTCAATTTTCAGCATATGATAAACCTTTGTACATTTAACTACAAAACTAAAAGTGTCTTATACTAGCTACGACTCTGTTGTACCTTCAAATCATATCAACAAGTGACATGAGAACTAAATTCTACTTCATGAAACAATTGGACTTAAGCTTGACCTTGGCCAAGTCACTCTCTACCCAAACACTAAGTTTATTTTCTCAAATGACCATCTTGGCTAAGCTCTAGACCTCCTCAACTTACATTTATTGTCAGGTAGTTGATGCCTGACAATGTTTTTAGTTCAGTAAACCAACAACCCACATCATGGCTCCAATCAAATTTTTCTGTCTTACGTATTTCACCAGTAGATGACAATTTGTATACACCTGATTCAGTTACAGTACATGTCCAGAAACATTTCTGATCTACAGAAACATTAGAAGTGTGTCCAAATTTGACCTTTTTTGAATCTTCCCTGAGGTCAAATGTGACAAGGTCACCAGTGTGTTGACAACAGCATATCAATGTGTGTTTATCAGTGAAGCCCATAGAGCTGATCTTCTCACTTCTTTCTAGACCTGCAACATTACATAGTTTTGTACATTACAGTATTATAACTCTCTCGGGGTGTAGGATTACAAGGATATTCCACCTGACATCAAACAATTTGGTAAAACCAGAGACTTTACTTTGTTTTACAACATGTTGTGACCTCGACAGTGAAATATCCAATCCTTCACCACACCATATGAAAGAGTATTTTCTTTTCAATTCTCATTTTAATTACTGAAAATTATCAACTTCAAACACCAAAATGGTACTACCAAGGATGCCATATTACACAAAAAACATTTTTTTTAAAATACGCAATTATGTAATTGACAATTTGACACTGATAATGAATTCTCTGTACCAAGATTTGGCAAATGTAAAAAATTAGAACAAAAAATTAAAATGTTACTGCAAATAACTATTTGTACAGATGTGTACATTTTGTCAGGCCATGACATCAATATTGGGAAGGAACATGTCACATTTTTACATGTTTGTGCCTGTACTGTGTGGGTGGGTGTGTAATACAAGAACAGTGAACTTTGGTACATTGTCCTGGACAATATTACTCAGGTAGAAATTAGAGAAAAATAACTTATCCATCACAGAATAAAAATATATTTCAAAACAGGATCATGATAACTATAAGACCTTTCTACATATTTTTTAAACAGACAGAATATATAATCTAGTGATGCCGTAGGTAATGTAAATAAACCAGTGACCTTGACACTAACAGATGGGAAACCTTACCTTTTGATGTGATCTGCCCTGTAATACTGTCTACTGTACACAGATTATCCAGGTGAGACCCAAACACCATGTGACTTGTACCTGGTACAGGTGTAATGTGAGCTGGGCTGCTGTTAAGTAAATAAGAGCTAACTTTATTAATTCATATTATGAAATCGCCCCATTGTTTGACATATAGGAATGTAAATAACTGAATATTTCCAGACTTGAAACCCCGTCAACCCTAGTCCCATAATGAGCTCCCTACCTTGCCCCCTTCCTGGCTAATTACGAAAAATATGATTTTCCTTCTATAATGACATTTCAGACCATGGAGTAAAATGCACAATAACAAAATCCCTGATTTCCCCTTTATTGGCAACCCAGCTCCAGCCAAGGGGTAACCATCAACTTTATACAAAATGTACCTGTATCTTCCCTTAGGATAATTAAGATCAAATTCAGGCATAATTTGCTTTGTTGCTAGTAGTGCTTTACATTATACCCTTGGTTGCAACCAAATTCTGAATTGAGATATTAAAACTATACTGTGTAAAGCATGAGAGGAAGGGAGGGGGAAGTCCTACCAAATTTAAGTCATCAACATTAACAAAAAGCAGACAAAATATGTTCTCGATAAGACATTGTATTTCTTTGCCTTGATGGCTTGATCAAGATTGACAGCCAACAACACTGACAGAGTTACCTACCTTTTACTGTTGGTGGTCTCTAAGTGACAGAGTTACTTACTCTTTACTGTTGGTGTTCTCTGACAGAGTTACCTACCCTTTACTGTTGGGTGTTCTCTAACAGAGTTACCCACCCTTTACTGTTGGTGTTCTCTACCTGACAGAGATACCTACCTTTTACTGTTGGTGTTCTCTGACAGAGTTACCTACCCTTTACTGTTGGTGTTCTCTAAGAGACAGAGTTACCTACCATTTACTGTTGGTGTTCTCTGACAGAGTTACCTACCCTTTACTATTGGTCTTCTCTAACAGAGTTACCCACCCTTTACTGTTGGTGTTCTCTACCTGACAGAGTTACCTACCTTTTACTGTTGGTGTTCTCTACCTGACAGAGTGACCTACCATTTACTGTTGGTGTTCTCTACCTGACAGAGTTACCTACCTTTTACTGTTGGTGTTCTCTGACAGAGTTACCTACCCTTTACTGTTGGTGTTCTCTACCTGACAGAGTGACCTACCATTTACTGTTGGTGTTCTCTACCTGACAGAGTTACCTACCTTTTCTGTTGGTGTTCTCTGACAGAGTTACCTACCCTTTACTGTTGGTGTTCTCTAAGTGACATAGTTACCTACCTTTTACTGTTGGTGTTCTCTACCTGACAGAGTTACCTACCCTTTACTGTTGGTGTTCTCTACCTGACAGAGTTACCTACCCTTTACTGTTGATGTTTTCAACTGTTGTAATATTTTTGATCACATCTGAAACATTTTAGCAAATTTACCATTTAATCTCAGTACAATAATGATTCACCTCACTGATATTTTGTTATCTATAATATTGTGCTGCTTCAAATGCAGGATTTATCTTAAGAATGTATCTGCCAAATATTAAGCTTAAGGGCCTTTTGACAGTTGATCAAACATAGAAATTTTAAGTTTTTGAACTTTTTAAACAAAATATACCCATGAGACATTGAATACAGGTCAAGGTAATTTCTTTTCTGAAAATATTGTCAGCTCCTATTTCAAGAACCTATAAGTATCAAGCTTTAATACCTTTTTGTCAATCAGAAGAAGTTGTTCTAAGGTTTTGAAAAATGTTTACCCTTATGACCTTGAACACAGGTTAAGGTTATTTCTTTTTGCAATCATTGTTGGGATTTATACTACGCACTTATCAGTCAAATATCAGGGTTCTGTGACTTTTGGTTAAACAGCAGATTTTTTTTTTAAGGTTCTAACTAATTTAACTCCCGTGACCTTGAATAAGGGTCAGGGTAATTTCGTTTTGCTGACTTTCTAATGATGCATACTATGTCCTATCAGCAAAAGTATTATGCTTCTGTGCCTTTAGGAAAAGTAATTTTAAGATTTTAACAAATTTGACCCTTGTGACCTTGAATGTGGGTCAAGGTAATTACATTTGTATATGTGAGGAAGAGTCGGGTAATAATGTAATAATGTATCATGACTTAAAGTTGATTTCTCTGAAAATTAACATATGATCCTACCAGTATCATCACTGCCAAGCTTCCAGAACTGTATCTTACTTGTGTCTGTGTCAGAGCTGGTTACAATCATCCTACATTAAAAAGCATATCAATACACTTATATAAAAACATGTAAAAATCTTTAGCAATAGCCAAAAACAAGAACTAAATGTGTTCTTATCTCAAATAACCTAGCTGCACAAACAAAACCTTTTACAAAGTCCTGAGTCCTCGCTTGTACCACCTTTGCATTGTCAAAGAAATATGTCAAGATTGTTCATCAAATTAGCAGTAGTCAAGGTATCATAAATGTGTTACAGGTAAGATTAAGATTTCAATATATATTGCTTACTGATGATATTGTACATGTACATGTAAGTAAAGGTACATAACCATTTGTCTCAAGTTTCAAAATCTTTGATTTTTTTTATTTAATCTACACTACATTATATCAGAAATAAGCACATTAATCCTGGCCCTGATCTACAGTGTGTATATAAAAGCTACAATTCTTTACCTTGACTTAGGAACATGTCTAAGACAGGCCACTCGATGAGGACAGTAACACCCAGCATTCATGTGGAAATCACGGTTCTTAATCAAACCCTAAAATAACATGTTTTATATTTCAATAAAATGTCCTGGATAAACCCTAACATCCACTGCAATAACATACTGTTCCTTTCCTGAAATCCCTTTGCAAAGATTTTTGAACCTCAATAAAAAGTATTTACCAGTAACATTGAACACCTTCAAATTTGGATAAAATTTAAAAATACAAGTGGTATGCACAGGTAAGTTTCATACATGTACTTATACATTCTGTAACAATCTGTATCCATACATGTAGTTATACATTCTGTAACAATCTGTATCCATACATGTACTTATACATTCTGTAACAATCTGTATCCATACATGTACTTATACATTCTGTAACAATCTGTAACCATACATGTACTTATACATTCTGTAGCCATACATGTACTTATTCATTCTGTAACAATCTGTATCCATACATGTACTTATACATTCTGTAGCCATACATGTACTTATACATTCTGTAGCCATACATGTAGTTATACAATCTGTATCCATACATGTAGTTATACATTCTGTATCCATACATGTAGTTATACATTCTGTAACAATCTGTAACCATACATGTACTTATACATTCTGTAACAATATGTATCCATACATGTAGTTATACATTCTGTAGCCATACATGTAGTTATACATTCTGTAACAATCTGTATCCATACATGTACTTATACATTCTGTAACAATCTATATCCATACATGTACTTATACATTCTGTAGCCATACATGTACTTATACATTCTGTAACAATCTGTATCCATACATGTACTTATACATTCTGTAGCCATACATGTACTTATACATTCTGTAACAATCTGTAGTCATACATGTACTTATACATTCTGTAACAATCTGTATCCATACATGTACTTATACAATCTGTATCCATACATGTACTTATACATTCTGTAACAATATGTAACCATACATGTACTTATACATTCTGTAGTCATACATGTACTTATACATTCTGTAACAATCTGTATCCATACATGTACTTATACATTCTGTAACAATATGTAACCATACATGTACTTATACATTCTGTAGCCATACATGTACTTATACATTCTGTAACAATCTGTATCCATACATGTACTTATACATTCTGTATCCATACATGTAGTTATACATTCTGTAACAATCTGTATCCATACATGTACTTATACATTCTGTAGCCATACATGTACTTATACATTCTGTAGCCATACATGTAGTTATACATTCTGTAACAATCTGTATCCATACATGTACTTATACATTCTGTAACAATCTGTAGTCATACATGTACTTATACATTCTGTTACAATCTGTAACCATACATGTACTTATACATTCTGTAACAATCTGTATCCATACATGTACTTATACATTCTGTAACAATCTGTAGTCATACATGTACTTATACATTCTGTAACAATCTGTAGCCATACATGTACTTATACATTCTGTAACAATCTGTAGCCATACATGTACTTATACATTCTGTAACAATCTGTAGTCATACATGTACTTATACATTCTGTAACAATCTGTATCCATACATGTACTTATACATTCTGTAACAATCTGTAGTCATACATGTACTTATACATTCTGTAACAATCTGTATCCATACATGTACTTATACATTCTGTAACAATCTGTATCCATACATGTACTTATACATTCTGTAACAATCTGTATCCATACATGTACTTATACATTCTGTAACAATCTGTATCCATACATGTACTTATACATTCTGTAACAATCTGTATCCATACATGTACTTATACATTCTGTAGCCATACATGTACTTATACATTCTGTAACAATCTGTATCCATACATGTACTTACACACTCTGTAACAATCTGTATCCATACATGTACTTATACATTCTGTAACAATCTGTATCCATACATGTACTTATACATTCTGTAGCCATATATGTACTTATACATTCTGTAACAATCTGTATCCATACATGTACTTATACATTCTGTAACAATCTGTATCCATACATGTAGTTATACATTCTGTAACAATCTGTATCCATACATGTACTTATACATTCTGTAGCCATACATGTACTTATACATTCTGTAACAATCTGTATCCATACATGTACTTATACATTCTGTAACAATCTGTAGTCATACATGTACTTATACATTCTGTAACAATCTGTAGCCATACATGTACTTATACATTCTGTAACAATCTGTAGTCATACATGTACTTATACATTCTGTAACAATCTGTATCCATACATGTACTTATACATTCTGTAGCCATACATGTACTTATACATTCTGTAACAATCTGTAGTCATACATGTACTTATACATTCTGTAACAATCTGTATCCATACATGTACTTATACATTCTGTAGCCATACATGTACTTATACATTCTGTAACAATCAGTATCCATACATGTACTTATACATTCTGTAGCCATACATGTACTTATACATTCTGTAACAATCTGTAGTCATACATGTACTTATACATTCTGTAACAATCTGTATCCATACATGTACTTATACATTCTGTAACAATCTGTATCCATACATGTACTTATACATTCTGTAGCCATACATGTACTTATACATTCTGTAACAATCTGTAGTCATACATGTACTTATACATTCTGTAACAATCTGTAGCCATACATGTACTTATACATTCTGTAACAATCTGTATCCATACATGTACTTATACATTCTGTAACAATCTGTAGTCATACATGTACTTATACATTCTGTAACAATCTGTAGCCATACATGTACTTATACATTCTGTAACAATCTGTAGCCATACATGTACTTATACATTCTGTAACAATCTGTAGCCATACATGTACTTATACATTCTGTAACAATCTGTAGTCATACATGTACTTATACATTCTGTAACAATCTGTAGCCATACATGTAGTTATACATTCTGTAACAATCTGTATCCATACATGTACTTATACATTCTGTAACTATCTGTAGTCATACATGTAGTTATACATTCTGTAACAATCTGTATCCATACATGTACTTACACACTCTGTAACCATCTGTATCAAAACAGATCCATTCAGCAATTCTGAAGAAATTTTCTCATAAAAAAACCAAATAAAACAATAGAAAAAAAGTCTGACAGAACTTGAGTGAAAAGTGATGGTGATTAGATTCCCTGACAATATGTGTAGAATCATCTACAAGGGGTGATTCCCTGAGTATATGTGTAGAATCATCCACAAGGGGTGATTCCCTGAGTATATGTGTAGAATCGTCTACAACTGGTCATTCCCTGAGTATATGTGTAGAATCATCTACAAGGGGTGATTCCCTGACAATATGTGTAGAATCATCCACAAGGGGTGATTCCCTGAGTATATGTGTAGAATCGTCTACAAGGGGTGATTCCCTGAGTATATGTGTAGAATCATCTACATGGGGTGATTCCCCAACAATATGTGTAGAATCATCTACAAGGGGTGATTCCCTGACAATATGTGTAGAATCATCTACAAGGGGTGATTCCCTGAGTATATGCGTAGAATCATCTGCAAGGGGTGATTCCCTGACAATATGTGTAGAATCATCTACAAGGGGTGATTCCCTGAGTATATGCATAGAATCATCTACAAGGGGTGATTCCCTGACAATATGTGTAGAATCATCTACAAGGGGTGATTCCCTGAGTATATGTGTAGAATCATCTACAAGGGGCGATTCCCTGAGTATATGTGTAGAATCATCTACATGGGGTGATTCCCTGACAACATGTGTAGAATCATCTACAAGGGGTGATTCCCTGAGTATATGTGTAGAATCATCTACAAGGGGTGATTCCCTGAGTATATGTGTAGAATCTACTACAAGGGGTGATTCCCTGAGTATATGTGTAGAATCGTCTACAAGGGGTGATTCCCTGAGTATATGTGTAGAATCATCTACAAGGGGTGATTCCCTGACAATATGTGTAGAATCATCCACAAGGGGTGATTCCCTGAGTATATGTGTAGAATCGTCTACAACTGGTCATTCCCTGAGTATATGTGTAGAATCATCTACAAGGGGTGATTTCCTGACAATATGTGTAGAATCATCTACAACTGGTCATTCCCTGAGTATATGTGTAGAATCATCTACAAGGGGTGATTTCCTGAGTATATGTGTAGAATCATCTACAAGGGGTAATTCCCTGAGTATATGTGTAGAATCATCTACAAGGGGTGATTCTCTGACAATATGTGTAGAATCATCTACAAGGGGTGATTCCCTGAGTATATGTGTAGAATCATCTACAAGGGGTGATTCCCTGACAATATATGCAGAATCATCTACAAGGGGTGATTCCCTGAGTATATGTGTAGAATCATCTGCAAGGGGTGATTCCCTGAGTATATGTGTAGAATCATCTGCAAGGGGTGATTCCCTGAGTATATATGTAGAATCATCTACAAGGGGTGATTCCCTGAGTATATGTGTAGAATCATCTATAAGGGGTGATTCCCTGAGTATATGTGTAGAATCATCTACAAGGGGTGATTCCCTGACAATATGTGTAGAATCATCTACAAGGGGTGATTCCCTGTGTATATGTGTTGAATCATCTATAAGGGGTGATTCCCTGACAATATGTGTAGAATAATCTACAAGGGGTGATTCCCCAACAATATGTGTAGAATCATCTACAAGGGGTGATTCCCTGAGTATATGTGTAGAATCATCTACATGGGGTGATTCCCTGATAATATGTGTAGAATCATCTACAAGGGGTGATTCCCTGACAATATGTGTAGAATCATCTACAAGGGGTGATTCCCTGAGTATATGCGTAGAATCATCTGCAAGGGGTGATTCCCTGACAATATGTGTAGAATCATCTACAAGGGGTGATTCCCTGAGTATATGCATAGAATCATCTACAAGGGGTGATTCCCTGACAATATGTGTAGAATCATCTACAAGGGGTGATTCCCTGAGTATATGTGTAGAATCATCTACAAGGGGCGATTCCCTGAGTATATGTGTAGAATCATCTACATGGGGTGATTCCCTGACAACATGTGTAGAATCATCTACAAGGGGTGATTCCCTGAGTATATGTGTAGAATCATCTACAAGGGGTGATTCCCTGAGTATATGTGTAGAATCAACTACAAGGGGTGATTCCCTGAGTATATGTGTAGAATCGTCTACAAGGGGTGATTCCCTGAGTATATGTGTAGAATCATCTACAAGGGGTGATTCCCTGACAATATGTGTAGAATCATCCACAAGGGGTGATTCCCTGAGTATATGTGTAGAATCGTCTACAACTGGTCATTCCCTGAGTATATGTGTAGAATCATCTACAAGGGGTGATTTCCTGACAATATGTGTAGAATCATCTACAACTGGTCATTCCCTGAGTATATGTGTAGAATCATCTACAAGGGGTGATTTCCTGAGTATATGTGTAGAATCATCTACAAGGGGTAATTCCCTGAGTATATGTGTAGAATCATCTACAAGGGGTGATTCTCTGACAATATGTGTAGAATCATCTACAAGGGGTGATTCCCTGAGTATATGTGTAGAATCATCTACAAGGGGTGATTCCCTGACAATATATGCAGAATCATCTACAAGGGGTGATTCCCTGAGTATATGTGTAGAATCATCTGCAAGGGGTGATTCCCTGAGTATATGTGTAGAATCATCTGCAAGGGGTGATTCCCTGAGTATATATGTAGAATCATCTACAAGGGGTGATTCCCTGAGTATATGTGTAGAATCATCTATAAGGGGTGATTCCCTGAGTATATGTGTAGAATCATCTACAAGGGGTGATTCCCTGACAATATGTGTAGAATCATCTACAAGGGGTGATTCCCTGTGTATATGTGTTGAATCATCTATAAGGGGTGATTCCCTGACAATATGTGTAGAATAATCTACAAGGGGTGATTCCCCAACAATATGTGTAGAATCATCTACAAGGGGTGATTCCCTGAGTATATGTGTAGAATCATCTACATGGGGTGATTCCCTGATAATATGTGTAGAATCATCTACAAGGGGTGATTCCCTGACAATATGTGTAGAATCATCTACAAGGGGTGATTCCCTGAGTATATGTGTAGAATTATCTACAAGGGGTGATTTCCTGAGTTTATATGTAGAATCATCTACAAGGGGTGATTCCCTGAGTATATGTGTAGAATCATCTACAAGGGGTGATTCCCTGAGTAAATGTGTAGAATCATCTACAAGGGGTGATTCCCTGACAATATGTGTAGAATCATCTACAAGGGGTGATTCCCTGACAATATGTGTAGAATCATCTACAACTGGTCATTCCCTGAGTATATGTGTAGAATCATCTACAAGGGGTGATTCCCTGACAATATGTGTAGAATCATCTACAAGGGGTGATTCCCTGACAATATGTGTAGAATCATCTACAAGGGGTGATTCCCTGAGCATATGTGTAGAATCATCTACAAGGGGTGATTCCCCAACAATATGTGTAGAATCATCTACAAGGGGTGATTCCCTGACAATATGTGTAGAATCATCCACAAGGGGTGATTCCCTGAGTATATGCGTAGAATCATCTGCAAGGGGTGATTCCCTGACAATATGTGTAGAATCATCTACAAGGGGTGATTCCCTGAGTATATGTGTAGAATCATTTACAAGGGGTGATTCCCTGAGTGTGATTCCCTGAGTATATGTGTAGAATCATCTACAAGGGGTGATTCCCTGAGTATATGTGTAGAATCATCTGCACAGTCAGACTGGTTTCTTCCGTTTCCTCCCACATTAAATGGCTACATGCATTCATCCAGACTTTTATAGTAATGTAGAAACAAATACTGGGTTCTATTGTGAATTTCATCCCTTTAATATTACAAATCTTGAGAACTATTGACAGTTTATTTGTAATATCATACAACTTATCTGTTCTGGTGAAACATTTCAACATCACAATTAATCCCACAAACTTATCTAAGATCTAATGAGATGCACTACATATCAAGCTATCATCTTTTCTCAGCTGACTTGTACACTTGGAGAGATTGCAGCTTCTCATACTAAGCCACAGGCTCTACCACTAAACTCATTGTTTTGACTGTTACTTGTTTAAAGAAATCAACTTACATTTTTACTTGGTGATTCAACTTTGTGAACAAATTAAGGAAGAAGATATAATTGTATACTGTCTTAAGGACAACGGAACATGTAATGCATGTTGTTGACATTAGGTAGCCATTTCATTTTAGCTGGATACCCAGGAATGAGTAACTTCAATCACAAAAGCATGGACTGTTTCAGATTAATTCCACAGGAAATATTGCTTCAAAAAATAATCTGTACAGCTATCCCAGTTTAGTCCCTTGTCTTTAGTGACCAACAACAGGAAGTTACCACATTTACTCACCCAAGCTCACACCTTGTAGTAGCCCACTCATATTTATTGATACAATATGCAGTGATCACAGGAAGCATATCCTTTCTTTGTTACCTGCAGCACAGGTTCAATGTAGGGAATGGAATTTTGTTTTGATAATTTTCATATAATTCTGTAAGAAATATTAGCTTCATTCACTTATCTACAAAGGTAAGTTTATTACCAATCATGGGCTTATTTTCTGACAGATACCACACTAAGCCCCTTAAAGAGGGAACTTTAGGTAAATTTGAAACCAGGGCTTTTTGAAGATAGAGTACATTTATACAGGTAACACAAACTTACTGCTTCTTCCTGATTGGTTTTGAGGAGTTTATCAGGAAGATGGAGTTCAGCCAACTCATGTTTGCTTCCACTGGAGGTGGCAATGCAGACGTCTGCAATTCAATTCACATCATTTTTTTTTTATATTTCGATTATTTTTCCATATTTTACCTAAAGAACAACATTAACACAGATATTTCTAAAATAGAGGCAATGACACAAACATAGTGTAATGAATTTAGATTTCATAAATTCATTATTTTGTGAACTCTTCAGATGTATTCATGAGTAAATGATTTCACACAAGCTAGTCTAGAAATGACTTTACAAATCTGTGAATAATTAGCTACCAAAGAAATGTGCTCTTCAAGACCAATATCAGATACCAAATCAACATGGAAGCCATACAGAATTATTTTTGTACTTGAATTTGTGATTAACTTTCCTTGTGTGTTAACATGAAAATAAATCTCACTCCAAAGAAAAGTGATTTTCAGTAGATACAAGGCTCTGGCTCTTCGTGAAGAAGGAAAAAAACAAAACACACACATTCACAAAAAGTACTGTATTAAGATCATGCGTTGTCATTTGTGGTTTCAGAGGATATCGAACAATATTCTGTCATTTTTTCTATTAACTTTCAAATCTGATTTTTGATCTGTACAAATCTGTACAATGTATATATCTGAATAATGTAATGTTCCTTGATATTATTGATTAAATTTGGTTATAGATAGGGATGTTTTTAGGCATCTTAATTAATTGCATAAATATAACATTTGTCAAAATTTACCACATGGCTAATTCAGTTTTTCAGTCATTTTAACAAAGAATTCAGATGTGACATATAATTTATGAAATAATTTCCCGACTGGGTTCCAGCCTTGTGGTTAAACAGAAGTCAGGTTCACTAATTATGAAAATTGATTCAAACCAAGCATGGACAATATCCTGGTACCGTACAAAGGTAGGATGTTTAAGAACTAACGGTTCCCCTATTGGGCCCTACCATTTACCGTAAACAAAAATGATTCCCCTTCACAGAAGCATGATTCTGACCAAATTGGAAGAAACTCTGTATTCCTGCTATTGAGCTCTCTCGCCTCCCTGGGTCTAAGGCTAGTCATACAGCATGAGAAAGAACAAAATGGGACAACATCCAAGCATTTCTACAGAAGACAAAGGATTTCTACTTTTTGGTCTATTTTCCCTGACCCTCCCTAACAAGTGTCTGAGATCAAGTGTTTACACAAGATTTATTCCCCTTCATCCAAGAATTCTTCAGATTGAATTTAGGCAAAATGTAATCATTCTCACAGAAGTAGTAATAAATTGATTCTATTGCCCCTCTTAGGTCCCATTGCTCCAGGGGCAATATTCATTCATTCCTAAGAGAGGAGTAGGATTTAAAATAATTTGGTTTATTTTTTTCATTGTTAGGCCCCATCTCTCTCACCCCAGGGTGTCCAGACCTATCATTTATATAAAGATTGATTCCAATTTATCCAAAAACCTCTAGACTAAATCTTGGCGAAATCCAATCATTCCTACAGGAGGGGTAGAATTTTAATAACTTTTAAAACTTAAAGAGCACCGTCCCTGGGAGCCTACAACTAATACCTATAAAACATGGTTCCCCTTCCAACAAGGATGTTTCTCAATGAATTTAGTTTAAATCTGTTCATATGTTCATTACTAGTCACAATTTTTAGAAAAAAGTTGCCAGATGCTGCACCATGGCACATGCTAACTAACTGGCTCTTTTGTATAAGGTGAACTAAAAATCATGTGGCTAGCATGACTATAATTAGAGAAAATCTGAGTTTTGTAAGTTTGAATTTTACACATAAGGCAGGTGTTAGAACATTATATACAGTGAAGTACTCATTATGTATTCATCTTAATTAATATTTTTATGATATTAAAACTTTTATTCAAACTGAAAAATTTTTCATTTTAAATCTTAATTCCCATACTCACTTTGGTTATTAGTCCAATCCATGGCCGTAATTCCATGCTGAAGATCATACATAAACAGATTCCGATATCTGTAAGTAAAATGGAATTGCTTCCTGAAATAAATTACTTGAATGTTGATCATTAAGAATTTACTAATTACTTATGATTTTTCATTATATCGTTTGTTTTTTTTTCTAAAGGAGGTCACTCATTTCAAAATGAGGACCATGCGAAATGCAACATTAATAAACAGGATTGTAAGAAACATCATCATGAAAATTAAAAATAAAAAAATATTAAAAATCATGGTTTTTCTAAACCTTCTTTCAGGATGCCCCACTAAAACATTTTATTAATAACTATTCCAAAAGAGAGTCAGAGAACAGTCAGACCAGAGACGTATATATATACGTCTCTGGTCAGACTAAATGACACCTTACAGATTAGTATGTAAAAAATGGTGATGCATATCGATAAAAATATCGTTATTAGAGATGTTGCATCCGATACTTTTTTATTTTAGTTTCAAGCTTCTTGTGTTATACGAGTACCTTTGGCACATTAACTAAATTTGGGAAGATAGTTCAATAGTCTGCATTAGGTCTACTGCACACGTACACGTAGCTAGTTTACCTGTAATCCAATTTTCATTTGAACCTAGTCTTAATCTTGTGCACAACTAGTTCACAAGGTATACAGATGTGTCACCACTTAACCAAGGACAGATATCAGTCTGTGACTCAACTGTATATTACACAGCACATAAACAGTTCAATCAAACTAAATACAAATCTATTCCAGTGTGAATAGATGACCAAATGCAAGGGGGCTAGGTTTAGGAATTATCACGGGAGTCTGACATTCTTTCACAGCAAAAGGTCAATCAATCATAGGGTTTTATTTCGGGGAATCAACAACTTATAATTATCTTCGTTTATACTTAAGTGGAGGTATCTCATACTTGAGTAAAATATACAAAACGACGAAAGACTTTTTTCAACTTATTGTGATTTTATCCAAGTGTTTTTTGTTATTTTATCTTCAAACATTCGCTTATACTATATCCCCTTCACAGAGTCAAAGAGGAATTAAATAATGAGAGACTCCTATAAAACACGAATAAATGACAGATCGATACATTTGATTTAAGCTTATATATAACTACTATAACACCATGAACAATTTACAACGCAATGGAATCAAATATCCAGTCGTCTGCTTCGTCAGCCATGGCATCCCGACCCTACAGTTTTCAAACACGTGCGATGTATGTTTATGATAATCATGATCAAAAGGACGCTTGACATACATTAGAATGAATTTAAAGCGTTAACGAAACACAGCTTGTAATCGTTTCCGGGTTTTCAAGATAAGAGCAGACAGGCAATAACGATTGCACATCTTTGGGATCCGCTGAGGAGCTTGAAGGGTAATGTCACATGCTAAATTTTTTTTTCTGTATTTTGTAACTGTTAACATTTTGCAGTATTGTTCTTATTTACATGACAAAGTCACGGAAGGTCATTCGTTACCAGTGCATGCGATTTGCTAAACAGCTGAATCCTTTTTATGAAAATGAAATTCTTCCCGTAAAGATGGTGCTTTTTTCATTATGTATAGCATATAGATCTATATGTATATATGCTGCCCGGACGATGAGACTTGTGAAACTAGTTGTGTCCCTCTACTTATATTCAGAGATGTATATATAACAGCCTAACTACGAGTAATCATTTCGTCATCATCATCATCATCATCATCATCATCATCATCATCATCATAATATTTTTTCTATTTCAGTGATAAGAAGTGTTGCATTAGAGAGATTGTAACAAAATATTTGATTCCAGCAATCAAGTGGTATTTTGAGACAATCTCTCTAATGCAACATTAAAATGCATTAAATAATAATTAGAATTGTTCAAAAATGTTATCATTACATACATGTAACTGTCATATCAATCATTTACGCAGATGTACCAGGAAATAGAAAGACAGTTGATTCCTTTAGTATCACTATGTACTGAAGACTTTTAAATTAAAAAAAAATGATGTTGTACATATTTTAAGCACTGGCTAAGAATGATACATTGATATTTCTGGATAGGAGGTTTTTTAGTACAGACAATGTATGTTCAGTGTCGGATACTGCCTTTTGAACTGTTATTTGATTGAGCAACATTCCTATTTAACTCTGAAGAAAGACAAACTAATAGCTGCCAAAATACAGCAAAAATATATGTATCAGGTGTATTTTGACAGTTTGAGAGTAATTAACTAATCATATTACAGTACTACACAAGCCTCTTTCCCCAGAAACATTGTGTCATGCCCCTACATTTTAAACCATAAATATTTGTAGCAGGATTGGTAATGTGATTATGTCACGAAATCATTATAATGTTATAAGAAGTTTTTTGAAAAAAAGGAAAATCTTTTAAACCTACTGTAGGATGAATACACTTGTATGTTTCTGTACATGTAGTGTCCTTTGGTAGGTATGGTTTTGTAAGGATGATAATAAAGCTAAAAAAAAAACAATTAAAGAATTTTTTCCAAGCTTGTTCTGAAATTTATAAAAAAAAAAATTGAAGGCCCGAAACTAAATTAAAGCCATATAGTCACTTTACACTCACTTATCTCTCCTTAATTGAAGAGCCAGCTACAAGTACGTATAGATTGTGCTAATTCTGTAGACAGTTCTCGTAAATGAACTGTAGTTTATGAATCATAATTCTTGGAATAGTGCATGTGTTGATAAATCCTGATTTAGAGATATACATAGCTGTTATATTTCTTGGAATCCGTATTTCTCAGAAATGAAACTTGAATAATTTTTATTTATCTTGCAACATAAGCTGCAAGAGAGATTTACACTATACAGAGTGAAATTTTTCTTTTATTTCTACATGTGTATAAAGCTCGATGACTTCAAAAGTAAATTATTATGCGATAGGTACAAATTCTGTATAAAGGGAGATAACTATCAAAGGACTATGAAGTCAATGGCACTCAATATTTGATAAGGACATTATAAAGAAGATTGACCTACTTTTGTTATCTCCAGAAATTCCTTGTTTAATGGTATAGCTCAGTTATATATACCAGGTGACTTATCTCTTGTGTCACTATTTATGTATAAATAATATATATATTCTCTCTAACAACATGGCTCATACTGAATTTTCATCTAACAAACACAACATCTTCACAATAGAATTCGTTAATTTCCAGAATAACAGCTATATTCTGCAGTTGATCATTTGTTTATTTTTTTAACAGATTTTTGCATTATTTGTTTAAAACATTTTCACCAACTGAAACTGTCAGAAATGTATGTTATTACACCCTACAGTAATTCTTTTCATTATGTTTTTGAAGTTATATTTAAATTCTGATTTATATATGATTATAGTTTCTGACTCACAGAAACCAGACTGACAATTATGAAATGAAAACTGATGTCAGAATTCTATTCTAAGCAGTTTGATTTAAACATATTTCATTAGTATCAATAAGTTTTCAAACTTATAGGAAGCCCTTTCCTAATTTTTACAATTTTATATAGATTACAAATTTGCGTATATTCATTTTTATGAGAGAGAGAGAGAGAGAGAGAGGTTGGGGTAGGGCTTGGGAGAGAGTTATTTTTAAAGATTATCAATTGAATAAACAATTCTGATGGTGATAGTAGAAATTTACTTTGTTCTCTTTACGAAGTACTCTGCTATTTGCTTCTATTTTAAAAATACGAACTGTCATGTTTTGATGAAAAACAAATCTACAATTAACATTTTTCAGAATCTACATCCACTTAATTACCAGAGAAAGGGAAATGGCTGGCGTGTGGGTATCTGCCTTGGTTGGTGTTCTCAATGTGGTGGCTTTCATGTATAATGTCATTACGTTTGTGCCCTATTACATTGTCCATCGTCCTGATGCAAAAAGGAAATATTCTCAAAGAGTCAAGGTAAGACATATTATAAGGCTGTTTTGTTCTAGTTCTATAATTTTGTATTTTGCAAGATTTTCTCATAGACAAGTAACTCTTTGACTATCACATAGATATATCTATATACATGTATTGAAAGGGTCCCATACTGTAGGTATAGAAGATCATTTGCTTATCCTGGCAGCTAGAAAGGAAAATTGTTTAATCTTTGGTGTTTTGTAGGCTAGAACAATCGGTGATTCACCTAGTGGACCATATCGAGCTATAGACCTACCTGGTGGCCAGCTAGTAACATCACTGTTTCCAGAATCTAATACTGTTGATGACCTGTTTGTACGTGCCGTCCAGTTGTATGCTGCCAAACCTTGTTTAGGCACACGTGAACTTCTTAGTGAGGAAGATGAAAAACAACCAAATGGACGAGTCTTCAAGAAGGTTAGTCACAGTCTTCCATTCAGAATTTTCTGGACAGTATGTTTTAAGATATGAATCTTAACAACAATCAAAAGTGGTTTAAAAGATTATACTATACAATATGTAGTTATGTTTCATTTAAACTGATCAGCCACCCTGATATCATCATGGGTAGAATCTAAACGATATAGATTCACCATATTGTTTTCATAAAAATTAAGGTTACAAGAGCATCATATTTTTCTGGCAATAAGCCTGTTACTATTGTTTTCCAGTAAAATTATAAACTAGGATGGAGTTCATGTCCATATTTATGCTGTCCAAATGGAGAGCACATAGTTGCTGCTTTGTCCGTCCATCTGTCCATTTGTTCGTTCTTTTGTCCGCCCCTTTGTCCATCTGTCTGTTCATCTGTCTGTCCATCTGTCATATTTTTGTCCAGAGCATATTACAAAAATTATAAGCGATATCAACATGAAACTTCATAGGTAGATAGATCTCGATAAGGAGAAGTGCAGTGTACAAGAACCATAACTCTCTTTTGCGTAACTTAGGAGTTATTGACACTTTGTATATATACATTGGTACTAAGAGAATAGGCAGCAAATTTAAGACTCACAACTTCTCAATTACAGAATTATTGTCTTTTGATGAAATTTGTGCCCAATAAAGTTGTTTTCAGGGAGCATTCATCATTTTCACTTATTCTCTTGTTTAAGTAAGAAATCAGGTGTTGAAGCCCAGGGTGGTATTACAGAATGGAGTTAATTAAATTAACAGGTGTTGATGGGAGACTACCACTGGATTACATATGAGGAGGTGTTTGCTAGAGCTACTCATTTCGGGAGTGGATTACTAGCCCTGGGACAGAAACCTCGTAAAAATACGTTGATATTCTCAGAAACAAGGTCGGAGTGGATGATTGCAGCACAAGCATGTCTTAAGTACAACTTCCCAGGTAAGCTTTTCCAAAAAAATGCTTTTACCATGTTCAACTTCTTAAGTAAGTACATATACATACTGGAGTACAATTGCCACTGAAGTATATTCCTGTGTGTAAGGTGAATGTGTTTTTTCAAAATTTCCCAAATATTTTACAACTTTTCAGGTAATCAAATGAGCAGGTACGTTAAAGTAACATTAAAATTTGACATTATTTTTATGTTAGATAATGTTAAAAACGTGTTACAATAATGTTGTACATATACAATATCACTGATTATGGCTGTTGTTACAGAAACTTTTACTTCCTTGCTGATAAACATGAATAGTTCATATGCCCAATATTTAAAGATAATGTTAGTTTATTGTGAATTCCACCAATCATTTCATTTGTTAAGCTTTTCTTTGATGGTTGTAGTGGTGACACTGTATGCTACACTGGGATTGGATGCCATCGTCCATGGTGTCAACCAATCAGAGGTGTCCTATGTCATCACAAGCTCTTCCCTTCTACCCAAATTTAAAGTATGACATGGATTATTTTGTGTTTTAAGAGAAGACAGTAGCTTTTCTCTCCTTTAAATAAAGTGATTTGCATTTCATTAGCTAATTTCTGGTAATCTGTCAAATGTTTTGAGCCAGCAGCAGCGTGTCTCCTCCAAAGTTATCAGAAATATAAAAAAAATGAAAATTTTTATTAAATGCTGCACAATTACTGTATAGAAAGTTCAGATTTTAATTCTCTAAAAGATCAGTCTCAAAAAAAAACCGTGAAAGTTTGTGAACTAATGGAATGTGATTGAAGCATTAATCACGATTAGTTACTTGAGTTTAATGTCATTTGTAGGGTATCATCCACAAAATGCCAAAGCTAAGTCACCTGATATATATTGGTGGTGACCGCACACCTCAGATCAGCGACTTCCCAACCCATGTAAAGGTACTCTCTATGGCGGAGGTGGAGGTGATGGGAGCAATGCCAGAAAATAGTAAGTAACTCAACTTTTGATAAACTCACCAATAGTATACATACAGTGTAAATCTAGCACGGTGAATTGAACTCAACTTTTGATAAGCTCACCGATAGTATACATACAGTGTATATCTATCACGGTGAATTGAACTCAACTTTTGATAAGCTCACCGATAGTATACATACAGTGTATATCTATCACGGTGAATTGAACTCAACTTTTGATAAACTCACCGATAGTATACATACAGTGTATATCTATCACGGTGAATTGAACTCAACTTTTGATAAACTCACCGATAGTATACATACAGTGTAAATCTATCACGGTGAATTGAACTCAACTTTTGATAAGCTCACCGATAGTATACATACAGTGTATATCTATCACGGTGAATTGAACTCAACTTTTGATAAGCTCACCGATAGTATACATACAGTGTATATCTATCACGGTGAATTGAACTCAACTTTTGATAAACTCACCGATAGTATACATACAGTGTATATCTATCACGGTGAATTGAACTCAACTTTTGATAAGCTCACCGATAGTATACATACAGTGTATATCTATCACGGTGAATTGAACTCAACTTTTGATAAGCTCACTGATAGTATACATACAGTGTATATCTATCACAGCGAATTGAAAACAAGTCAGCTATGGTTTTGAATGAGCCAAACCATCCGTCTGTTAGTCTAATAATAAGCCCACCCATAGAATACATGCAATGTATATCATATGAAATTGACATTAAGCCTATGCTTGTGGATAAACCCAACAGTCAGTCTATTAATTTGGCACACACAAATATTTTCAAGCTGAACCAAGTTTAAATACTCACTGAATAAAGAGTTGAGATTAGATTACAGCAAAAAGATGTACAGTAAAGCAGATATTTACTGCTTTCATAGGTGTTGTCAATGAAGCAGAAGGCACTTACTCTTTTGGAACACATGGTCTTATTCTTGTGTTTTTTCCACACTAGAGAAATGTTGAATTCTTGCTTTATCATACAGTTTCATCAAATATGTCATTATGTGGTAGTGATAGTGATATTATTGATTGTTTACTGTAGTACGGACACCAGTGACAAAACCAAAGCGAGAAGATATTGCAGTGATCATGTACACTAGTGGGTCAACAGGAGTTCCAAAAGGTAACATCTTATTGTCCTGAAATTATTTGTCAAGACTTCTGATTATTCAAACAGGTAAAACTAGACATATCAAAAGGTGAGAGATCAGATTGGTTCCCTAAATCTGTCAATGTAGCCAAGTCAACAATGATAGACGCCATTGGGGCAGAAAGGGATTTCACATCTTGATAGCTCCGTTAGATGGCCCATTGCCCTGTTAAAAGGGCAAATGCACGAAAAGAAATTGCTAAGAGATCAAAACCAATTGACTAATTGATAAATTGATGCTTTAATTTGCATGCTGTTAATGATGCCTACTACGAAAGGTCTTAATTGTCAATTAAGGTCAAAGACAGTTAAAAATCACCTGAGTACACGAGAACTAGAGGTGACAATTATCAATTAAGGTCAAATACACTTAAAAATCATCTGAGTACATGAAAACTAGAGGTCACAATTGACAAAAATCATCTGAGTACATGAAAACTAGAGGTCACAATTGACAAAAATCATCTGAGTACATGAAAACTAGAGGTCACAATTGACAAAAATCATCTGAGTACATGAAAACTAGAGGTCACAATTGACAAAAATCATCTGAGTACATGAAAACTAGAGGTCACAATTGACAAAAATCATCTGAGTACATGAAAACTAGAGGTCACAATTGACAAAAATCATCTGAGTACATGAAAACTAGAGGTCACAATTGACAAAAATCATCTGAGTACATGAAAACTAGAGGTCACAATTGACAATTAAGGTCAAATACACTCAAAAATCACCTGAGTACACAAATACTTAATCTTACAATGTTAATCAAATTATTATTCTATGCACTCTTTGTAGGTGTGCTGATATCCCATGGTAACCTCATGTGTGGGATGGCCGGACAAGTACAAAAGATAGCTGCACTCAGGTAGGAAAATCAGTATAACAGGTAAAGCTATCCTGTGAAAAGATTGGGACAAATATGAAATGTTTGCAAAACACTTTTAAAAATTTTAATGATATTTTTAATGTCTGTGACTTCTGATGTCTTTTCTTTCAAAAACATTTTCAGAAATTCTCAAAAATATCATCTTCAATACTCCAGGGGTTATGATAACTTTAACTCTCTGCATCCTTGAAACAGCTCATGGAAAAATTTAAGACCCAAGCATAGTAAATGGATTGGCTCCAGGAGAGAAAAATTGCTGATACACACCATTTGAAGATTACAGAGACACCCAACTTCAAAAACCATTACAATATACCATTATGCGACCTCGAGATTCATTTGATTTGCCTTTAAGGATCAAACTAGCATTTTCGTCTTGTCTACAAGGTGTCGCACATGGAATGTACAATTTTGCCATGACATGTTCTCGGAGTGCAGAGAGTAAATTAAGTGATCATAAACCCTGGAGTATCAAGGATTCCAATGCATCGGCAGATCTTCATCTTCATAAAAATAAAAACAGCTGCATTTAGTTGTTATTGATTCATTAAGTTTAAATTACCTATATATTTTTCAGCCCCAGTGACATTTATGTGGGTTATCTGCCCTTGGCCCATGTCCTAGAATTGAGTGCAGGTATGATATTGAAATGAGCTTTTGTCCCAAGTTAATAATATTGGCTATCTACCTAGATTTGAGAGTACTACCCTACAATAAGTCTAAGAAGGCTGGTTTATTTCTTTTGACTCTAAAGGGAAATGTGAGTATATTATAGAACTATCGTAAAACATTTTTTGGTAACAGAAAAGATATGGGTAGGCATATTACTAGGCATGCATTATAGTGAACATGACAATGTCACATAATCCTAAGTTGACAAGCCATGGGGTTATTTACATAAGTTATATGTTGCTGCAATCTGTTTAGAATGCAGATCCTAATTATTATGAAAATTAATATCTGCATTTTTATCAGCTTGATGTTGCTGTGACTTTGACCCAAATTTCACTATAAAGTTACTTCCCCTTACTGCTACTGCAGAAGAACGTATCTCAATAGGTTGTGTAGATTTCAATAATTTCCTGGCATATTTTTCTTTTGTTAAGTTGTAGATAGTCTGTTTAGAATTCTAAAACACAGTTCATTTATTTTTTTTTCACAGAGCTGTCATGTGTGGCGTGTGGAACTTGTATTGGATATTCCTCTCCCCTGACACTGACAGACCAGGTAAGTGTTATCTCCCCTGACACTTACAGAACAGGTAAGTGTTATCTCCCCTGACACTGACAGACCAGGTAAGTGTTATCTCCCCTGACACTTACAGACCAGGTAAGTGTTATCTCCCCTGACACTGACAGACCAGGTAAGTGTTATCTCCCCTGACACTGACAGACCAGGTAAGTGTTTCTCCCCTGACACTTACAGACTAGGTAAGTGTTATCTCCCCTGACACTGACAGACCAGGTAAGTGTTATCTCCCCTCACACTGACAGACCAGGTAAGTGTTTCTCCCCTGACAGACCAGGTAAGTGTTATCTCCCCTGACATTTAAAGACCAGGTAACTGTTATCTCCCCTGACACTGACAGACCAGGTAAGTGTTATCTCCCCTGACACTGACGGACCAGGTAAGTGTTATCTCCCCTGACACTGACAGACCAGGTAAGTGTTTCTCCCTTGACAGACCAGGAAAGTGTTTCTCCCCTGACACTAAGAGACCTGGTTAGTGTTATCTCCCCTGACACTGACAGACCAGGTAAGTCTTTCTCCCTTGACAGACCAGGTAAGTGTTTCTCCCTTGACACTGACAGACCAGGTAAGTGTTATCTCCCCTGACACTGACAGACCAGGTAAGTGTTATCTCCCCTGACACTGACAGACCAGGTAAGTGTTTCTCCCTTGACAGACCAGGTAAGTGTTTCTCCCTTGACACTGACAGACCAGGTAAGTGTTATCTCCCCTGACACTGACAGACCAGGTAAGTGTTTCTCCCCGACAGTCCAGATGAGTTTTTCAATGGTCTATAAGGAGGCATATATAATTAAGATTATTTTCAAATTTTAAACTCTGAAACTCCTAAATAAGGTATCCAAAGTTAGCATGTCAAAGATGTGGGTGAGAGGAGGCGTACACTGGAATCAGGTTATCCATCTGTCCTTTAGTCTGTCCATCCATCTGTAGATTCAATGATGTACAGGCTGCTCCTTATAAACTACTGAATTGATTTCAACAATACTCTGGCTAAAATTCATATTCCTTGTAGATGTGGTAATGTACATCAGGTTGAGTTACCTCCCCTTTTGAGGAAGTTATGGCACTTCAGGAACTCAATGATATACAGGCTATTACTGAACTACTGTATGGATTATGTTTATCCCATGTTATTAAGATTAGATAACATTTTATTATTTGATGAATGGCTTCTGGAGGGGCTGGGGGAGGGGCTGGGGAGGGGCTGGGGGAGGGGCTGGGGAGGGGCTGGGGGAGGGGCTGGGGAGGGGCTGGGGAGGGGCTGGGGGAGGGGCTGGGGAGGGGCTGGAGGTGTCCAACAGTAGTTAGCTATGAGTCTGGACTTTATTATTACATTAATTATGAATTATTTTTTTATTACAGTCCAGTAAGATAAAGAAGGGGAGTAAAGGAGACTTGTCTGTCTTGAGACCAACACTGATGGCTGCAGTACCTGTAAGTCACTATTCCTTCCTCGTACACATGAGGTTTACACATGTTAATGTTGCTGCACTACAGGCGTTGGTGTTTATATTATAAAATCTTCAATACAAGATCAGTCCTTGGTTAAACATTTTACAAATAAAGACTTAATGTTTAGATGATATGTAGTGTTATCTTTGTTATAGTAAATGCACTAGAAAAGCTGTGAATGATGATGAAAATAAGTTTTGCATTTTCCTTAGCCTTGAAGTTACAAATACATTATTCAGCAGAACCTCTGTAGTTGCTTTACCATAGTACCATGTATCATAACATCCCAAATTCAGGATGTAATGATGTCATGTTATTTTAAACTTTGGAACTTTCAACAAAGTCTTTATGCATGAATACATATTGGTCAGGGTTGTAAGGCAAACCTGTCTGTGAAGTAGGATGTAGAAGTAAATGTCCCTTGTAGACAGGCAGGTTTATACTGGTGGTCTTTATAGACAGGTGGTCATTACAATAGTGTTTTTAATGGGTAGGTACCCTTTAGAGACAGGTGCCCTTTAGAGACAGGTCACCTTTAGAGACAGGTGCCCTTAAGAGACAGGTTGCCTTTACGCTTGTGACCTTTATAGATAGGTGACCATTATATAGAGGTTCAATAGGTATAAAATGCACTACATTGGAAATCAAAAGCAGTGGTCATTATGGACAGGTACTTGTTACACAAAGATGGACTTTACAACAGGCTGGAGGGTATAGTGGTATTAGGTGATGAGTAATAATGACAGGTAGATATATAGGTTTAGAGATATGAATTTACATTCTTAGCATTTCTTTCTATTTTTTTTAACTGTCAATAAAATTTCTTGTAGTTAAAATGAACATCAATATGATATTGTATTAATTTATTGAAACAATGTTGCTAGGTTATAATGGATCGATTGTATAAGGGCGTAGAGGATAAAGTCCAAACCAGAGGACCGATGTTTAAAGCTGTGTTTAAGTTTGCCTATGAATACAAGCTTAAGAATCTCCTACGTGGATACGACACACCTATATTGAATAAGTAAGTAATTAGAAACATAATTATCGACGTGTCAATTTATAGAATTGATTTCCATTGATAAAGGCTATCGTCAGGAATTTTATTTTCATGTCAAACTTTGATGGGATAGATAATACGATATGGCATTCATGATCCTTCTTCCTCTATTTTTGATTTTTATTTAACATCTTTTGTTTCATTTTGTGTTTTAGATTGATATTCCAGAAGATTCGAGAACTATTGGGTGGTAACATTCGGATGATGCTTAGTGGTGGGGCTCCCCTATCAGAACAGACTCAGCGGTTCATGAATATCTGTTTCTGCTGTCCAGTACTACAGGGCTATGGTCTGACCGAGACTTGTGGGGCAGGGACCATTACAGAAGGTAGGTGTTAGATATCCTGGTAACTTTAGTCCAGTACTACAGGGCTGACAGAGACTTGTCGGGCAGGGACCATTACAGAAGGTAGGTGTTAGATATCCTGGTAACTTTAGTCCAGTACTACAGGGCTATGGTCTGACCGAGACTTGTCGGGCAGGGACCATTACAGAAGGTAGGTGTTAGATATCCTGGTAACTTTAGTCCAGTACTACAGGGCTATGGTCTGACCGAGATTTGTCGGGCAGGGACCATTACAGAAGGTAGGTGTTAGATATCCTGGTAACTTTAGTCCAGTACTACAGGGCTATGGTCTGACCGAGACTTGTCGGGCAGGGACCATTATAGAATTAGGTGCTAGCTGGTATCCTAATAATTGTCGGTATTCTGATGTCAGCACAGACATGATACCTGTTACAAATAAGGTGTCTAGCATACAGACACAACAATGTCAGCACAAACCTGTCGGTTTCTCCTGAGAAACATAAGCTGCTATGGTTAAAGAGCATCATACCTCACACTGATCAGGTAAAATAGCTATAACAAAGGCTAAGCTTCCTTGGTCTGATGGAGATTGCTGAAAACATTACAGAATGTAGCATTATCTAGTCGCTTTTCAAAATCAATAAAAACGTTTATTTGAAGGAGAAGAAAGAATTTTGAATTAAGAATTTACAACAAAATATGTTTAAATCAGTTTTCCTAGGATTTATTTGTGTCAAAATGATCTGTCATTACCTTTACAAATCAGTTCTGTATTTATTGAGTAATGACATAAAGGGTTATCTGTTACAAAATTTTTATCATGGAAAAAATGGCAGAAATTATTTTTATTTGGTGATCTTATTCATTGAATACACTGAATTCATTGTGTTTTAAATTGCATAAATAGTAAGATTTTAATGATTAACAAGTTCTTCTGAATCAGTCATATTCCTTTTCCAACTCTTTGATGTCCTCTTTCAGCGATCATACATATGTTCACTTTTTGTTGTTACTCTAGTAACTTAATTTCTCAATCAATTTTTAATCAAACTTCACATCTTGGTCAAGTATGATATAATACCTTGAGCAAGTTGAAGTTTCAGTGTGTCAAGGTCAACATAGAGATGACTGTTACTATTTATAGAAAATCTTTGCCATCACTCTAGCCTTGTGATTTCTCAACAGATGTTTATCAAACTTCACATATTGGTCAAAATATATAAAGACACAATTACTTCAGTTATCATACAATGAAAGTTTTTAGTGTGTGATTTAATTAGACACTGTTAAATGCAACACAGAGGATGTGTTGTTTAACAAACTTCCTTATAAATGGGAGCGAGGGCATTTGTGTTATTTGTGAGGCTTTATTTTTCATTATATATATTGGTCCACCCTGAGCAGAAATGATACTTTAAAAGGACTGTTGTTGTTGATGTTTATGACATGTTGGTTACTAGTGTCTGAAATTTTTCAGTGACAGATCTAAGTACGGGCAAAGTTGGAGCGCCCCTGTTCTGTGGTGAAGTAAGACTGAGAGATTGGCCTGAAGGTTTGTATGATTCTAAAAATATACCATTATTTAACCAAATCAGCATAGACTACTCTATGCCTAAGTATTTCACCCGCATCGACAATTTAGGCTCAATAGGGTTCAATGTTTTATCAGAGCATTATGTTACTAGAAGTGATACAATAACACAGGGTAAACTTTGTATTAGTCTTTAGTGTAGTTTTGTGTGTTTTTAAGCCTAGTGAGGATAAACCAGTTAATGGTTAATAATAAATGTAAAGAACTCACTCCAATGCTGTTGTGATTGATAACCCTTACCTGATTTTCTCTACTGTTCAATAACTCTGCAGATTCCCATGTATCCAGTAGAGGACTGGAGGAACTTAATATCCAACCAAACTAGAACAAACAGTGTTGGCTCTACTACCTAAATCCAACTAGAGTTTAATAATTATGAAATTGAAAAATTAAAAATGAAAATGACTATATTGAAATCTTGCTGATGAATTTGTTTTGAATTGTAAGGAATGTTGCAGTAATATATACAAGTGTCATTATATTGTTGTGTGCAATATGACTGTCACCCTTATCCTGTATTACAGGAAATTATACCTTTGAAGACAAGCCCTATCCCCGGGGCGAAATCTTGATGGGCGGGGGAAATATTGTACAAGGATATTACAAGATGGAAGAAAAAACTGTCGAGGACTTCATGGAGATAGAAGGTATCCGATATTTCTGTACCGGAGATATTGGACAGTTTGAGGAGGACGGATGTCTCCGAATCATCGGTAAATAGTAACTGTATTTTGTCTACATTTTTTATGCACTCAGATCGAAAGATCAGGAGTGTATTGTCTTTGTGCTGTCTGTTTGTCTGTTTGTCTGTTGTTAACTTTAATCTTGCCTATAGCTATTGCAGTGTAAGAGGTAGGGTTTGATATTTGGCATGTGTGTTCCTTGTGACAAAACCTTTCTCATAGTATCAAAATTTATGACCTTGTGACCTTGATGTAAGTGTTTTACAAAGTGTGCATGCAGTAAGCACATGCCTTATACAGATTAAATGTCCCACTTCAGGATTTTGTTGTAACTGTGGACCTAGTGTTTCATAAACACATCTTGTTTCAGATATCACTATATTTGACATTTTTTAGATATCCTATGTCTGTCTTCATCATCATTGTTTGTGATGTTGTATATATATTGAACGAATTTTCATTGAATTACACCCACATAATCAGTATCAATATCTATACAATACATGTATTACCATTTGCTCTATTCATTGAGAAGTTTGTGTTCATAAATGACTATTTCAAATAATTTGTGCCTAGCAGAGAGTCTAGATATCATTAAGTACTGATAATTGATAGTTTTTATGCTCCCCCCCACCCCCAACCCCCCATCCCCCCACCCACCCCACCCCACCCCCACCCCACCCTCTTGGATACATTAGAATTGCCTTTTGTTAAAATTTTGTGCCCAATAAAGTTGTTTTTTGGAAACATTTGTTACTGATACGCAACATGTTACTTAAAAATATCTGATGCTTTCATGTGTTGTTTCAAGAGTTTTGGGCTATAAAATGTATTTTCAAAACTTAAACAAAATGCAAAAATTTGTGACTCAGAAATCAAATATTTTTATTAATACTGAAATTGGTTTTGTGTTGGTGATGTTTCAGATAGGAAGAAAGATCTGGTAAAGCTACAGGCAGGAGAGTACGTAGCTCTTAGTCAAGTGGAGACTAGTCTCAAAATGTGCCCCCTTGTTGAACAAATATGTATTGTTGGTGATAGTCGTCACAGCTTTACTGTTAGTCTTGTTGTACCAAACCAAAAGAATCTGAAATGCCTCGCAAAAGAAATGAAAATTGATGAAGAAGACATTGATAAATTGTGCCGGAATGAAAAACTTATGAAAGCATTTCTGAAGAAGTTGAATGAATATGGTGTTAAAGGTAAGTGAGTTTTTAAATTCTTTTTTCATTTTATAATCTTCAAAATCTAAATGGTTTGAAGTTTATGTAGAAAATATTGGATGAATTGATTTGGTCTTACATGTTTTAGCATTTCTACATCTAGCTACAATATCTACTTGGCAGTATGCCGATGCCTGCTAATAACACCATCCAAATACATGTATAATGCTGTTCATTAGGGTGATAAGGAAAGTAAACACTATTTCACTGTCCTGCAATGAGCGTTTTCTGCTTTTCAGCCCACCGTCATCAAATGGTGGGCTATTCAACTCATCCTATGTCTATGGTCCGTTCATCCTCTGTCTGTCCGTTCATCCTCTGTCCGTCCGTTCATCCTCTGTCCATCCGTTCATCCTCTGTCCGTCCGTTCATCCTCTGTCCGTCCGTTCATCCTCTGTCTGTCTGTTCATCCTCTGTCCATCCGTTCATCCTCTGTCCGTAGTAAGCAGTTCTTGTTATCGCTATTTCTTGAGAAGTGCTGGATGGATCTTTCTCTAACTTCATATGTAGGTTCACCTAAGGTCCCTAGTTGCACCTGCTTGATTTTTGAACTGATGAGTAAAAAAAAATGGCTAACATATGACTATCTTGAATTTGGCAGCTAAAGATTATCCCTTTTTCTGTAAAGAAATGTTCAAATTTTGTATGATAGAACAAGAGCAAAGGAGAGAAGACTAAAGACAGAAAAAAGATAAAAATTTTAAAGAACAAATAAATATCAAACAGAGGTTGGTGCCAACATCCCTCTGGGATCTCATGTTACAAAAAAAAAAATTAAGGTAAGCTATCATGAAAACTTTGGTTTAATGGCAGAAAAAAAATGCAAATATGTGGGAATCTGTCATGTGTTATTGATAATTTGTCTTAATTATTTCTCCAGCTTGTGTAGAGAAGTACTGCCTACCACAGGGTATGACGTTGGTCCCGGAACCTTGGATGCCAGACTCGGGTCTCGTCACAGACTCCTTCAAATTGAAGCGAAAAGCCATGGAAAGTCATTATAAAGCTGATATATCCAGGATGTACAGGCGGTAAAATCATCGTCAACAGGCCTTTACTCAGTGTACATAAAGTACCTGTTAATAAGGGCAGTCGATAAATTGGTTGGAGAGTTGTGTGTCTTAGGATTACTAACTGTAGTAGTATATGTTTGGTAACAATAGGACAGTGTTACAGGTAGAGGAGAACAGAGTTCTTTATGAATGTTATATTACTATAGGTTTTGTATTATTTTGTGTTCTGATTGAAAGGTTTTGAACCTAGAAAGGAGATGATAAGTTTAGTGTTACAAAATGATACAGTGTTATATCATGTTCCATTGTAAGGGGAAATGTGATAATAAGCAGAACATGACATTAACGGTTGAAACATTTTTCTGTACCTCTAAACCCAGAAGTCAACTTTCTGATGCACCCAACTAGTAGAAAGAATTGAGGACTGGATGGGAATGGTAGAAGGGTTCTCTCATTTCATTGGAAAAAACAAGAGGAAATACTTTGTCTGGATAAAAGTACAATGGTGAAACATTCTTTGAATCTTGCTCAATAAAATAAAATTTATTGATATAGAAATGTTGTTAGGAATCAAATTCATAATAAAACTTTGATATTGAAAGAATAAGAACAATTTGCGTTTATATTGTACAGACAAGTTAGGAAATTAATCTATATAATCTAACAAGTTAGGAAATTAATCTATATATACTACATATAGAAGATTTGGTTAAATATTGATGAAATATAAAGGAAGGGAGATAACTAGTTTCTTCTACTTTGCTCAAAATGAAAGAAAGAAGTTTATGTCAAGTCTTCAATACACATTCGTTTTCCACAATTTTGTTAGAGTAAATTATATTTTTGTTCATAGTCCATTTTTAAGTCTGTTACTGTCATATGTCTTTTTATTTTGTTGATTCAAATAGGCAATACAGTCTGTCCGTGTACGGTCGGGATAAATTCTGTCAGTGTACAGTCGGGATAAATTCTGTCAGTGTACGGTCGGGATAAATTCTGTCAGTGTACGGTCGGGATGAATTCTGTCAGTGTACGGTCGGTATGAATTCTGTCAGTGTACAGTCGGGATAAATTCTGTCAGTGTACAGTCGGGATAAAATCTGTCTGTGTACAGTCGGGATAAATTCTGTCAGTGTACGGTCGGGATAAATTCTGTCAGTATACGGTCGGGATAAATTCTGTCAGTGTACGGTCGGGATGAATTCTGTCAGTGTACGGTCGGGATAAATTCTGTCAGTGTACGGTCGGGATGAATTCTGTCAGTGTATGGTCGGGATGAATTCTGTCCGTGTACGGTCGGGATAAATTCTGTCAGTGTACTGTCGGGATGAATTCTGTCTGTGTACAGTCGGGATAAATTCTGTCAGTGTACAGTCGGGATAAATTCCGTCTGTAAATGGTTGCGATAAATTCCGTCTGTGTATGGGCGGGATAAATTCCGTCTGTGAATGGTTGCGATAAATTCTGTCTGTGTATAGTTGGGATAAATTTCGTCTGTGAATATTTGCAATTGATTCTGGAGCAGTATTGTCAATACATATAAAAGTATGTATTACCATTGTCAAAGGTTGAGACTAAATCAGACAATGATATAGGTTATGCGGGGTGAGCCAAACGTTTTAGATTTAATATCAATATATTGGAGGTAGATTTTTCATTTTTTTGCAACAAAATGTTTCATCACATGGATATTTGATATTTGTAAGACATGTAAATCACAGAGAACAGAGACATTATGGATCATTATGTAATGATATAGCTCAATAGATGTATCTATATATTTTCTGAATGAAACGGGTCTTGGACATATAAATCCAACGATTAAAAGTACAGATAAAACGCAATGAATATAAATCACCCAGGAAAATGAATGCGTAATTGATATATTTGAAAGCTGCCTCAGTCTTTCTGACAATTTTTGCTCCTTTTTACTCTTTTTTTCCCCTTTTTCAATTTCTTAATTTTGATTTATTTATTTTTAGGTCATCTGACCCAAAGGGACTGGATGACCTATAGCCATTGTGTAAACGTAAACTTTCCATTCAAATGACATCTTCTGCATAACCAAAAGGTCAAGGGTTCTGATATTAGGCCTGTAGCATGCTAGGATTAGGGCTATAAAGTTTGTTAAGATGAATGACCATGACCTGCTCTTAAAGTCACAGGGTTAAATATGATAAAATCTTTTAAACAACTGATTTTGCTGATATTGGGCCTGTGGCATGCTGGGATGAAGGCTAACCAATCGTGTTCAAGTGATTGGCATTTTTTCTTTGTAAAGGTCATGTGGTCAAAAGTATGTAGCATGTATTAAGAATATGATTTCAATTTTGGAAAAATGTTCCTATAAACCAACAATGTCTTTGTTAGCTGTAGAGAAGTTGAGCAATTTATTTTAGGCCTATTTAGCCTCTTTCATATATAGGTCTTTATTATCAGATGAATGTTAGGGCCCATGAGCCTGTTGGGTTTATTGATGTGGTAGTTACTGTAGATATTTCTTATTATATTCTGTGTAAAAAGAAGTAGAGTAATTCTATATTAAAATATTATATTCTGAGAAACAACATTTGAATTTATTTTTTTAGATATGTTTCTTTTAGATATTTAAAGTCTGAAGAGAAAATTATTGCTATGTGATACTATATGTGATGGTACAGTATATTATATAGAAGTTTAATTCCGTATATCATTATATCCTTGTTAAGTATTGTTTTTTTTCTATAGAAATAATGTAAGGTTTTTCTATTTCTTTTTCATTTTTTCAATTGTTTATTTTTGTTGTCTCTCTGATTCTAAATATTATACTAATCAACAGAAGAGGCTGTTGTTATTGATGGTCACATCAACTCTAAAAATAAATCTGTGTTTAACACAGTTTGTAAGATTTAATTAAAATATAATCAATTTGATAGATTTGAAATAAAGTTAAATAATAGCCAATATGATTATGTACAATTGTAATCAAGGCAATACTACTTCAAACCCCAATTTCGGTGAAAAGCAGTTTCTCCCAGTTGTAAAATGGCCCGCAGATTCTAATGAATATTATGAGATGATAAATGTTGTTTGATCATTTCTTAACTTTGCAATGATTCATTTCTGAACCTAATCTCCACACTTGGTAAATGTGAAGACGAATGAAAAAATTAATTCCTTTCGACACATTGGATTTTTCAAACGTTAGGCACTTATATTACAAGTGCTTGAAAGCACTTCATTTAATAGTGTTGTGCATGTTTACCAACTCTCCTTAATAGATGGTTGTAGACTTGTAACAAATGAATTACTAGTGTAGTAAAACGTTGCTTTAAAACCATTTTAGAATTAAGATCACTTTCGTTCAGTCCCACAAAATGCTCAGTATGTGTTTCTGTGGTATATGCTTCTCTATTATGACCACCTCATTTATGACCTCACAAATAAGACCAGTTTTGAAAACCTGAAACACCTGTTTTGCATTGAATTTCATCTTGCTTAATTACTAAACCAATGACTATTCACAAAGTGAATGATGTGTATCACTGTGGTTACATCTGTCAGATCACAGCTATATGTAGGATGATGTGTATCACTGTGGTTATATCTGTCAGATCACAGCTATATGTAGGATGATGTGTATCACTGTGGTTACATCTGTCAGATCACAGCTATATGTAGGATGATGTGTATCACTGTGGTTACATCTGTCAGATCACAGCTATATGTAGGATGATGTGTATCACTGTGGTTACATCTGTCAGATCACAGCTATATGTAGGTGTCAAACTCAGGCTGCTTGGATAAAGTAATGCTTTTGATGTTTAAAATCTATATGCTAATTTAGTTTAATAAAATCAATATGAATGTATGGACAAAAGTAGTCATGTCTGTGTGGCCATACTCAGTTTTCAAACCACACTGCTTTATAAAACCACTTGTGTCTAATTGTATTACAGTGAACTCTGTCTGAACTGGACACCTTTTGGACCGAACAATTTGGCTGATTTGTAGAGAGTTCCAGATTGTACAGAGTCCATTGTAATAATAGTGCTGGAACTTGGACTTAACTATTTGACTGGATTAGACAGATATCTGGATTGCATCTGGTTTGACAGAGTCCACTGTAGTGTTACTGGATATCCAGTTGTTCATGATTTTTAAATACATTGTTTGAAGATATATTAATTATTATGTGAAAAGGAGGTACTTTTTGAAGTTTACCATTACACACTATCTTGTCCATTGAAATTCCATGGGGTGGACACATTGTGTACATGTGTGTTGGTAGTGGGTGAATAGAACAATAGAACGTGTAGCATTGTTTGAGAAAGCAGTCCTTTTCTACAGTTTCAATCTGAAGGCACTGTATCAATCTGGAATTATAAAAATGCTATTGTTGAATTCATTGTTGTAGAAAATAAAAACTAATAAAGCAAATTTGATTTTGACTGTCATAAGTCTAGAAAAGTGTTTGTAAATTTGGGGTTGGAGGTTTGAATTAAAACTTTGTTTCATCATGCTTGTTTTGAGAGATGTACAATTGCAGTCTATACTGTCAGGTGTTTTGAGTCAAAGTTGTACTTTCATCATTTAAAAAATCCACTATATAGGCTTGTGTTTTGTCATGTGTGATAATACTAATAACTTTATGTATACAATGTACTTTTAAATGTCTCTGTCATATTACCCATAATTCCACTGTAGTTAAATCTTAACCAATTATCATTAGGTTATTATTTAAAACAATGTTTACACCTACATTTCATAAATTTTACAGAAAATAGTCAGATCTGACATGAGGGGAAAAGGATTGGTTTGTTCAAGAGAGTACTTTTAAAAGTCAATTTCATGTGTTTGATTTCTTAAAAAGAAATATGTACTTTTGAAATTTGTCCTTTTTGAATTCCTGCATTTGTAATTGTGATTGCCAAACATGGCTTTGTCTTTATTTGTTTTTTAACATCAGTTAACAATTATTGTATTTACTTGCAAAATTCCCAAAAATCAATTGAAAGTAAAAAATGAAAATTTCAAAACTGCATTTACATTAGGTGGAATTAAGTTTCCACTGATCATGGACAGAAAAATATGTACAGCCAAACATTGTTATTTCGAACTGATATAACTTGGAGACATCATTTAATTTAAAGCATTTCATCCGTTCCTGCCTAACTTTACACAAAACAATCAATCTCAGTTAATTTGGATACTTGGCTATCTCAGTGTTTTCTTATGGTCCCGCTGTGTACAAGATATCAACCATACATACGCAGAAATGAAAAATGGTGTTTTGTTAATTTGTATGTAATTTCTGTGACATTTGAAGGCTTGAAGAATTGAACTCAATCACAACACCAATATGAAATCAGGGCCAGATTTATTGCGGTTGCCATTCAACTCTTTCTTGATCTCCACATTTCAGTTTGCTTCTGATGTTGTGACATTTTGTACTCCTCCAATCGCCTTAAGTATTGTATAAGGATATATGTGATATAGACGCCACGTCTAATGTTTCTATTTACTAGGTGTTGGCAGTATAAGTGATATATGTCATAAATTATATATTCAACCCTGGTTTAATC